TTTTTCGAAAATCACCGGTTGCTGTTTTCGCTGACTGAAATCGATTCTTAGTTCGCATAACACTAAGCCGTGCTGAGTACCAGCATCTGCGGATGACAAGGTGCGAACATCTAGGATCTGCTGTGGATGTACATGCCGATTACTGATGATGAAATCAATCATCGATGCTTGGCCTCTCCGATTGGTCCAGGTAATTTTCTGTTGTAACGGGTGATCAAAAAACGTGTTATTAATCCTCAATTCATTTATGGCGCAAAACTCAATGAGTTCCTCACCGCTGTCATTCAAGGTGGGCTCATTGAATCTATTTTTGATCCCAGGTACAGCAATTTCATTGAGAATGCTAATTACTACTTTCCGGGTCAAAAAAATCACAGATACCCACGCTCAAAAAAGGGAGAAACATGACAGTTCAACAGTGTGACTTATCTCAGTACGCCCCAATAGTGAAAACTTCCCCGAATAAGTTTTAGATTTTTTTCTACGAACGTAAAACTTTCAATTCTATTTCAACGATGTTAGTCGGCAATCACATAACTCGGTTTGCGACGTCGCAGACTTCCTGTCATACTTTACTTCTTAAACGGAAAACCAAGATCCATCCATATAGGTCAGTCATTCCCGAAACCCAAATGAGAATCTTCTGCGCATGACGTCAGCATTACTGCCGCGAAAACCAGAAATGTCGGAAACAATGCTTTTCTCATGGGAGAGAACAAATTTTTTTTAATGAATCATATTTAAATTTCTTACTTTTAAATTCTTTGAAGCTTTCTGAGTGTCGAAAGGAACGTTTAGAAATTAGCGTCAAGGGTTTCAATTCAGCTGAATTTGCGTTTTTATATTTTTAAATGATTTTTGAAGTCAGCGATGTAACAAGCCATCTAGTGGTATAGATTCGCGTGTAAAAATGGCTGATGCAGAGTAAACTGTAAAAATGAAAGAACACAAATTCGGCAAAATCGAAACCCTGAATGCTAATGTCTAAACGTTCTTTTCGACACACAGAAAGTTTCAAAGGATTTAAAAGTAAGAAATTTAAATGATTCATTAAGAAAAATTTGCTCTCTCCCATAAGAAAAGCATTGTTTCCGACTTTTCTGGTTTTCGCGGCAGTAATGCTGACGTCACGAGCCAATGGAAAGGGGCTTACCCCGAGCGGGGAAATCTGCACTCAATGGCAATTCGTTAAAACTGCCATGATTTTTCTTCTCTGTGCGAAGAAAATTCTGCAAAACTTCAAGGATTGGTGTCAATTTGTTCTCCTTTAAAAAAAATAACAGAGGCGGAGATTTTCAGACACCGCAAGCGAGATTTGTGATTACGGACTTACGCCGTCGATTTACTCAGTATTAAGTATTCAGTAATCTCTCTATGCTGCATGTAGAGTCGTCTTGAACATCTAATGAAAAATATGATTTAAAAAAATAAAATTATTTTCTGACAAATGAGAATAGTATGAGCGGAGGTCATTTGAATCATGGCAATAAACAAAGTGTAAGTTTTTGCCCTTTTTTAGTTCTTCGCCCTCGACATTGTGCGAAACCAGCAAAAAGTACCTAACCCCTATCCAAGAGGAGACTGAGTTTAAAGTATTTTGAAGAATGTTAGTCGTAGGTATATTTTCTTCTGTAGAAAGTTGTTGCGTAGAAAAGGCGTCTCCCATTTTAGTTACTGTTCATATTAGGAGAGGATGTTCATTATCATGTAGAATAAGATTAAAAATGTGAACCAGATCCTAAAAAATTCGTCTTGATGCTTTTCGTGAGGATTTAATTTGAATTTAGACGTTAGTACCTTAGTTCAGCCGAAGCTCGTCTCTGTGATGGTTCCGGCTCTGGAGTCTCAAAATTGCGTTGAGTTGATTTTCTGCTTACTTTCAGTACGCTATACCGCCGCCCCCCCCCTCCCCATAAGAGGCCGTGCCCGAGAGGGGGGGGGGGTGAAGGTTCCCCATCTCCGGCCTTATACTTATCAAAGCGACATGCCTTATTTGTGAACTTGTAACGGAGGCGGCCTAAGCGCATATCGCAGATCGGCAGCGTGGGCGAGCCAAGCTGCAGAACGCCTTCATTTTTTGCCTATGCAATACGCACATCCACAGAGCGCGAATAGTTGCATCCAAGCGCTGATCTAAACTTAAAATGTTACGCGTCGCGTCAACTCGAGGCAGCGCGCGCACGGCTAATCTTGATGCATGAACTGATATTTCCGTTTCCTATTGCAGTTTTGGATTGGAATGTAAACTGGCTGTATTTTTCATTGCTAGGACTGACGCAATGAGATCATGAACAATGTTTAATCATGTTGTACCCTAAAGAATGAGTTACAAATCGACGGTGTAAGTCGGCAATCACATAACTCGTTTGCGGTGTCTGAAAATCTCCGTCTCAATGTTATTTTTTTAGAGGAAAACAAACTGATATCATACCTTGAAATTTTTGCAGAATTTTTTTTGCACAGAGAAGAAAAATCACGGCAGTTTTAAAGAATTGCCGTCGAGTACTTAGTTTTCCGTTTAGAAAATAAAGTATGACAGGAAGTCTGCGACGTCGCAAACCGAGTTATGTGATTGCCGACTTACACCGTCGAAATGTTTCGTTGATGCACAGAAAAATAATTTAAATTTACATGAAAATTTAGGTAACTATTTTAAACCCAGAAAATGACGGACTAAAACACTGAGTAAATATAGCTTTCTCTTGAAACTAAAATTTTTGGACTGCAAATCTCAAAATTGTCCGGACTTTTCAGGTCAGGATCGATAATGTAGTGATAACAGACAGTGATAAATGGGCTATTAGTTACAATTTATCATCGAATTTTCTTCTTTTCTCGAAATTCAGACCCGCTATAATTAGCAATTTTCGGCTACTTAATCAAAATTACATTCCTTGTCCAATTTTATGATACGTAATAAGTACTTATTACTTCAACTCTTTTTTTATCAATAATATTCAACAATTTATCGTAATCAAATCCCGAATAGGTACTTAAAACTAATCTCAACCATTTTTATGCCAAATGTTTTATCATTAAATAGCATTATTTTTACGGCAATTTTTGCTTCCGAATCAAATGTCTTCTTCTGATAACTCTGTCGCATAGGTTGGTTCGGATTATGCATAACTATAACGTCTGCGAGCTTTTTTTACGCCGATTTCTTCATTAAACTCTACTTCAATAGGGGGCTCAATAACTCAATTTTGAATTTCTGGGCACTTAGGTCCTTTTGCTCTTGGTCAGTCACACATGTCAAGGGTGAGACGACAGGGAGAATCTTTCTTGCAGTGTTGCAAAATTTCTTCACCTGTTTTTTTCTCATAAAAGATAGGTAATTAGGTATGTACTTTTGCCCGAAATTTTCAAGAAATGCCGGTGTCAAAAAAGCACACAAGTAGGTATTGAGTTTGATAAATATGATATTTCCTTTAAATAGATAATAAAATATGACAGGGACTTTGCACCGTTGCAAATATTAGGTGTCTGGTTTGATTGTTTCACCATTCATATGCATGCAACAAGGCTATAGCCGTGTGAGAATAATGCCCTCTTGTTTTGTTTGCTACTGAAGATACGGAAAAAATCTATGATGACTGCTTCAGAGCTGTATCGGAAATGCATGGGAAGAAATTACCAGACGAAATTTTGTTGAAGACAAAAGGAAAGGAAGCGGACGATTGTTTTAATACGATCATCGATGGCCTCAAACTAAACGTTTCAAGGGAAGTCTTCGAGAAAGACTTCGAAAAACTAGCTACTGAAAAGTGTAGAAATGCAAAACTGATGCCAGGTAAGATTCGCATCTGAAGCTTTTTGCCAATTTCGTGATCTCTTCAGAGATGTATCAAATTCATTCTATCTGGCAGGCAAATTTTTTAAATAAAAGTTCGACAAGACATTAAAATGCGTTGTTGCATGATTGAGTAGGACTTCGTCTTTTCCTTATCGGATCAACATAATGACTTCAAAATTCGAGCGTAAAAAAATGATGAATACAATGAAAAATAAACCTGTTAAAATTTATGAGATAGAAAACTTTTTTTTGAATTTTCGAAAAATCTAAGTATAATTTACGCTCAAAAAAAATAAGAAAAGGGTCAATGACATTTTGCTGAATCCTGTATGTAAAAATTTCAAAGGGAAAAAATTAATTGAAGTCAATAATTCTGAGATTTCACAGATATCCTGAAAGTTGCTTAAATTCCACATTGTTTCACTCTGTCTGCTGCTGTTTCAGGTATCGATAGAATAACGAGGCACTTGTACTACTACGGAATACCAATGGCAGTAGCCACTAGCAACAGCAAGCGATGGTTCGATCTACTGACAGAGAAGCATAAACTGTACTTCACGCTTATCCACCACGTGGTCACTAGCGCAGATGACCCAGAAGTCAAGCACGGTAAACCGGCTCCGGACATATTTCTCGTGTGCGCCTCAAGATTCAAGGAAAAACCTGATCCTTCAAAGGTGCAGTAGTATACTGGTTACCTCGGAAAAATTAAAGTACCTTTTAAGAGTACGCTTTCAAGGAATATCGACCTTAAAGTTCGGCAAGAGATCAATGTCGAGAATTTTCGAGATTTTTTGGAAAATTTGTTCCTATATGACCTGGGAAACTAACCTGGTAAAAATTAGCAGCAGGCTCTGTGTTCTAAAATACCATAGACCTACAGCTGTAAGATTTCCTATAGCTTCTATAGCCGGCTATACAATTTCTTATAGCCTTTTATAGCTGATGGTGATAAAGCTACAGCCAGGCGATAAACTATATAGCCCGGCGATAGGAACTATAGCCCGGCTGTAAAATTTTTTATCGCTTCATATGGCCTGGCTCACCGGCTGTATGATTTTCTTTGCTCTCTACAGCCAGCTCTATGATTTTCTATCGCCTTTTACAGCTATAAGAATTCCTATGGTATTTTGAAGCGCAGCTCCTATTGCCAATTTTTACCAGGGTAGGAAATTGATCCCCAGATCGCAGCAAACGGTCGGCGTTTTGGAACTTTTTGCACCCCAGGTCGACGTAAGTGCTGCTTTTTCTGTTACTTCCTTCTTCTTCGCTTTACTTAACCAGTTTTCAAAACTGCCCAGTGGTCTGTTCTCACCTTTGCGCATTTTTGTTACAGGTGCTCGTGTTCGAGGACTCGCACAACGGCCTGCAGGCAGCGCTAGCGGCGGGCATGCAGTGCGCCATGCTACCAGAGAAGATTACGCCCCTGGAGAAGAGAGAAGGGGCCACGCAAGTACTACGTCACTTATACAAGTTCGACCCAGAGGCCTACGGCTGGCCTCCTTTCAGGGACGTCCCAGCCGACGACAACATCCCAGACTCGGACGATGAGAACCCTGACACCTCCTGGCCTCCCGTTTGATCGCCCTCATCCGAAGTCTGGTCTCGACTTATCTGCATCTCTTATTACATATTATATTAGTACATATATATAGTATGTAGTGTGCACAATATATCGACGGTGAAACCACCAGACTGCATATCTCGGTTTGCGACGTTGTAGACTTCCTGTCATGCTGTATCTTTTAAATGGAAAACTACTTAACATTAATTCTTGAAAAAGTCCGTGCTTCTCCCACTCTATACGAGGAAAACTCGGTAAAAATTTCAAGCAATAATATTGATTGATTTGTTCTTTTCCAAAAAAATAAAATGAGAAACATCGCAAACAAGATACATGGTCTGGTAGTTTCACCGTCGATATAACACTTATTATAACGTTCTAACGTCACTCCTCTCTCTTATACATATTATACATACAGGTATATGTATTTATTATTACATATTATATAAGTATACATATGTACTGAGTATACCATTTGAAAAATATTGTGACAGTTTGTGCTAATAGGGTATAATTTTTAAAGAAACTAGCCCCAAACTTTACTGGAAAAATTATACCCTATTTGTACATGATGTAAAAATAAGAGAATTTATTGTAAAAGCCAGTACTTGAAAAATGGTAGGTATGAAAAAAAATTGGTCAAAGAGGAGATACCATGTAGTATTTGTTAGAAAAAAAATACAAGAAATTCAATTCAATTTCCAAAATTTAAACCTCATTTCCCAGTTGACCTGGAATAAAAACCGAAACAAAGTATTAACACTGCAGGTAGATTTATTATTAATTTTAAGAATTTTGATTACAATAACCAAGACAAAATCCAATTCTTGGGTTTTTCAATTGAGTATAAAAAAGAAATTTCACTTTTACAGAATGAGCCGTGCACAGCTTAGTTGCAAAGCCAACAACTTAACACATAAATATGTTTGATAAAAGGTATATCTGATGGGGAAATATTTTTTTAATTTTGCATAGATTTATTTACAAACGAACTGGAATGAAACAGTTTTTCTGGCCTCTATAAAAAATCATTTCGATTTAATTCATTTTGGACAATTGTTAAAAAATCTCTCACAGCCCCATCAGGACATTCATAAACTGAGACATCACTTCGAACATTTGTTGAATAAGTTCAGTCTCAAATTGAGCAATAATGTACAAATCTTGAAGACATTCAGAATGACTGAGTGAGCATCTATTTACTGCTACGAATGAAATTTACGAATTTTTCAATGAAATAACCTCAAAATCTTAATGTGGGTAAAGGGCTGCTCTTTTTCTGAGATTCCGAGAGACTATTGACAATTTTTTTTATGTTGATGCAAGTAATTAAGGACTAAATTAGTTACTGTAGGTACTAGAATTGAAAAAAACGTTGCGAGTTTTTCAGAATTTCAAATCATTGAAAGTTTTACAAAATACTCATGAGTATTGAGCCAGAACCAGCTCAAGGGCTGGGAGGAAAAAGCATTTGCTTACGAATACATACATTTTGCACATTTCATTACTCAATTACTCATTACTGCATTCATTTTCATTACATACATACATGATTTGCATGGAATTATCAGTGAATCATTTTTATTAAGTAACCTTTTGATTTTGATCTTAATAATCTTTAGGTTATTATCGATTCAACATAGATTATTATCAAATGGAACCACTTCTGCCAGGGAAAGAAATGAGGGCACAAGAAGCGACTTACATTTCATACAATTTTTGTCATAACTTAAATTGTAATGGCTCATTAGACATGATATAAATTTAAGCATTCTGATGCATGTTTTGTGATCAAAATTTCACGTAGAACACACTTCGCGCAATGGGACTGAAATAGGCTCCTAACTTAGACATTTTAAACTTTTCAAAGCTTAAATTCAAACCTCCTGCTAATGAAAAAACAAACGTCTACCAGAGTCAAATCGTGCAGATGACAGTTGATGCGGTAGGAAAATATGGCAATCTCAATCTCGGTGCTTTGGCTTAGCTGTTGTTTATTATTCACACTTTGAACAACACAAGGTGGGGAAGGAACATTGCTTCATTCAGAAGCCTGTCACAACCGTTGTGGTGCATATTTTGATTCAAGAAAATTATCGTTTTTCTTGTGAGTGGGGAATTCAAATTTACCATAACCAGCGCAAACTAAAAACGTGAATATCAGTAGTTTTCGTTGCGCAAACCGTGTTCTCCATGAAATTTTAGTTAGGAAGCATTTATCAGAATGTTTAAATTCGAACATTGTCAAGTAGTCCATTTTGAGGCTTAAACTCTTTTATTTCTTTTGAGGTATAATTTTTCGGTGAGTTCCAAAAAAAACTGGATTTGGAAAATGGAATTTTTATCCTTCTAAAGTCAAACCGTACTGAAGCTTAGAAAGAAATACAATTACTACGAGCTAATTTCACTAAAAACAAATCACAGCCAGTTTACATTAAGAGACTGTAGTTACAAATTTTAGACATGAGCCACAATGTCAAGACCATACATTAAAGACACAAATAATGATACAATTAAACCCACAAAAAGTTTACACTTGATCAAGGGCAACATGGGTCAAATTAAAACAGAAATCAGGAAGAAGCGTTGTAAGAATAATAAGGAACCATGAGCATTTACTGTGATGCGTTCTGGATGGTTCATTTTACAACCTTAAATCTCGGACGGACCACAAAGTTCACCTCAGTGAATTCACAACCACTTCACTTAAAAGGTTAAAAAAATATTGATTGTATGATTTTGTTAGGTGCAGATTTTTTTGGTAAGTTTTACCTTTAAATCTAAACCACCGAACGCGGTAAAAGTCTTCATTCTAATATTATTACACTATAATGAAAATTTTACGCTTAAAAGCAAGAAAATAGTTTTACAGCATGAGTTTACATAAATTATAGTAAAACATATTTAGTTACAGCTTGCTTACTGGTAGCCATAAAATTTCTCCTTGAAAGCTCTTAGACATTCCTAACAGGTTGCCAAAATATATAAGCAACAATCACGAATTCTAAGATAAAACTGATTGAACATATGTTGCGACTAGAATGGTTAGATTGAAAATAGTAATATATTCAATTCCAGAACATCTAAAAACCTAATAAGAACAGAAATTAGTAACTTTGAGATAATGATAATTAAATATGATTTGAGATATTAGTTAACGCTCAGTTTTGACGACAGAAATCTTCTGTGGTTGATTCATAAGTCACTTCAGTGAAGTTTGGATTTAGTAGAGAGAAAATTTTATGGCTACGTTTTTAAAATTGGATACAATTGCGTAAGATTATTTTTATCATCCATCCTGGTATGCAACTATTCCTACTGCTGAGATCAAATGCACTACAACAAATTGACATTCATTTTTTTTATAAATTCATTAGCATGCAACTTTGGAAGTTCTTAGACCTCAAAATAAACTTTTTGGTGTGCTTCAACAGTGAATGTAATATTAGTCTGTAAAATGAAATCGAAAAATTGCTCCTGGCAAACAGACTTTTTTAACCCACGTGTCCGACTGGTGCATTCATGAAATGAATAATAGATAGTAAACAAATTTGATTCCATTTTACTAGTCCATTAATACCAGAAGAATCAGACGATGTAATGCGACAGTCATTTTGAGTTGATGAATAATACCTCATAGATTGAGTTGACAAGTAGTTTATGCACAAAAATAGATTCAGATTAAAGCAGAAAAAACAGAAGAAGAAAGAAATTAATAATTAAACACAAACATAACCACTTTCAAAAGGCCTCAACACTTTGCATACTAGACATGTTTTATGTTGCCCCCCCTCAAGGTCAGGAGTTTTAGACCTTTTATCAAACTGCTGCAAACAGTTTTTCTAGTTGACCTATTTAATTCATCTGAGTAATGTTTAAGAAGATATTTACGTCACATAATACGGAAAAACAAGCCATTTTAATTACATACTTCTGTTGTGCGATATGAAACGTGTCAATGTAATATCTGGTGGTTAGAATGCAAATTAAATCTCGTACAAACCTAGAAGAATTTTTAGAGACATAAGTGCTTATGATAGCGAGGGATAGTTTGAAGACCTTTGTAGGTTGACCTTTGTAGGTTGACCTTTCTAGTTTGAAGACGGTTTTGGTACACAATGACAAAACATGTAAAAGCGTTTTCAGAAAACTATATCTGTATGTGCAAAATATTGAGAAACTTTTAGAAAAATCATGAGCCAAACAAAATATATTGACAATATAAAAAATAACTCGACAGATCATGAAGAAATAATGACAAATCACATTTTTATAAAAATGGGAAGTGCTAAAAACTGTCACTCAGACACTTGGTTTTCCTGGTTTTTTTTACCAGTGACCTTGGTCTAAAAGATGATAACTACATGTAGTGCGTCATTTTAAACTTTATCGAGACAGTATTTTCCTGACTCTATCAATGTTGCGCCTTTTAGTTAGAGCATACAAGAAAATAAGAAAATAACATTAAGATCAAAGCAAAATCAGGAGGTAGAAAAAAATTTAAACAATATCTGACTAGATGAGATTACTTTTGGAAAGGAAAAAGGAACTTGAAGCGATAAACCTAAAACTGAGATCATAGCATTCGAATCAGTCAATTTCATGAATCAGGCCAGCTAATCAAATTGAGATATGACCATGCTACATAAGCTAATCTAACAATGTGCGATATATTCTGACATCCAAGTTTCACATAAAAACTTCTTGCGAGCATGCAAAAATACAAAATCTACATTTAGCATGTATCTTTTTTCAGTATAAATAATAATATGAGAATTTTATTCTGACTAGAGATTTAGTTCCATTTGCTGCTTGAGCAAAAATAGAAGACATAATAGTTTTAAAAAATGACTGTCATTGTAAAAAACCAATGAAAACTTCCATCTTCGACAAAGTTCTAACATAGAAGATGGCTTGCATACAAGAGGGGAATGTGTACTCCAATTATTGTGCATTTTGGCGGAGTTGACCTTCACAGTTTCCAAGGAAAAATATAATAACAGAGAAGAATTAACTTAGGTATTAAATATAAACAGAAAATCAAACAAACAAACAAAAATACACGTAAGAATAAATACAAACATATCTCTGTGCTTTCACTCAACACTCAATTTAACCTCGGACTTTGCTTCAAGAGTCAAAATTTTTGTAGACTTTTAATTTAAACATTGCTATTCAGATTTAAAAAAAAGAAGAAAAAAAGTGTGGTCTAACTTTCTTCATGGTGTCTAGGATTCTTGAATTTCCTTGTTCTCTGATATTTTCTTTATTTTAAAGAAAAAGAAAATTCTTCGTTTTTTGCACCATCTCTCAAATGACATCCGTCATTCATCGGAGGGTTTCCATGCCTCGTTAAATCCCCATTTGTTTTTGTTTTTGTTTTTTAGTAATGCAGCCTAGAACGACATGGTTTTACTGCAATCCATTTTATAATTTGCAGACCCTATTTAATGCATTTTTCCCCAAAGGACTATAAAATATTAATTATTTAATTAAATGGGGAAACCAAACTTTAAAATGCTCTATGTCATTCTTTTCGTGACTTTCAAAAGCGAACGCATATTAATTGAGGAGGAAAAGGTCTATTTACTTGAAGCAGATACTTTCTTCAGCCAGTCCTTCAGTTCCGAGATTTTCTCATGGATACCGTCTGGTTTGCTTGGTGGTTCCTGAACGTCACAGCTGGGACTCATTTTCGTTTGCACGGCTTCTTGAACACCACATTGAGGCTTGTTTGGCAGGATGGGTGCGTTATCACCTTTTTGACTGCCAGGTTCTAAAATTTTAAATGAGGACAGTTTAAAATTCCTTATTTTTCACACAAATTTACTTAAAAAAAGAATCCCTGGTCATAAAAAATCATCGTTTAATGAGCCTTCACTTTCAAAGCGGACCGCTATTCAAATATGTTAAAATATTTTTGAGTCTTATTTCACAAAAGGTTTAACTATGAATGGCATGGTCGATGGAATTGAGGTTTCAGAATGTGAAAATGGTGTTGGTTTTTCAGATCCTACCCTTTTTTTCCTTCAAAATAAACACCACAAATATTCCTAGCCCTACACCTAATAAATCCTTCACCTAAAATATTAGACTAAATGTCTCTAGATGGCTGTAGGCTCCTCTACTGGAGTAAAAGCCACTAAAATAACAAAAATAAGAAGAAGGAATTGAGGTTAGCACTCCATGTTGATGATGTACTAGAACTTGCAAAGTTTGAATTAACGCTTCTAGTGCAAGATGTGTGCAAGCAAACTGATGCTGTTACTGCATGTCCTGCATAGCATGGACTTCAAGCAAAATTCTGCAATTTTGAATGGATCTGTTGGTTGCGAGAGATACAGCCAGATTAATACACTGTAAAATGGTTAAAACGCAGGAGAATCGCGTTAGGCACAACCAAAAAGTCTGAAATCCATTCCTCAGTGCGCAATCTACGAAGTAAATTTTCCGCTTCTGCAGGCAGCTTTTTTCAGTCACTGCAGACCAAATAAGCACGGGCAGAGAAGTAAAAAAAAACTGACCCGAGTAAACAAACGATAACTATAACTTTTTCCATTCTTTGATTTCAATCGTTTTCAAGTGTTTGTTTCCTTTTTCTTCATTTATTTTGTAAAAACCACAACTTTGAATCAATTGAAATCTTAAGCAAGGTGAGTTTATAACACTTCGAAAGATAATTTGATTATTTAGGATAGGTCTCTCTCCGGGCAAACCCTACTACCAGGCCACCAAGAAAAACTGGGGGCATATGTAGTAAATTTGAAAAAGTGTGTTACATACTACACAGATCGCGCCCTGAGAAGTGGATTTCAGGCTTTTTTGATAAGCCCAATGTGGTTTTCCAGTGAATTTCCCCTTGATGAATGTACTTAGTTGGCTGTATCTCTTGTGTGCAACAGACCCATTTCTGTTTCGTTGGAAATGAAACTATTGCCTCCATTTAACGTCCTACAATTAGTCAAGAGATTCATCACTACTTGGGAATAAAAAAATTGGTAAAGACCTAAGAGACTTTTTAGAATAATTTAAACTGCCCATTTACGGGAGTGTTCTCTATTCAACTGAGTTGAGTAATGGAGGCTCATCTTATGTAATTTCATAATTAGAGGGAAAGAGAAAGTACCTGCTGATGAGGTGGGAGAGGACTCTTGGGATGCAAGGACCATATTTTGATCAAGTGGAATGTTCAAAGCTGCGTCTAAAGTTTGATGCATAAGACGAAGTCTCTTGAATTTTTCTGTCAGCAATGCTCTTGTCCGTTCGACAGACGCCTCCAAGGCTACAAGCTCCTCTTCCTTTGAACCAATAAAATGCATCACATTGATGACAGCTCACTTGCAAATGATACTAATTTACGGGTAATTTATTTATCAGTACAAAGTCTCTGACGACACTCGGATTTCTTTGTATTTTCCGAGGGGAATAGTGTTCTCGATTTGAAGTGCATTGAAATTGTAGATGTAGATGATACATTTTAAAGTAAGAGAAACAGGCTTCACCGATATTATATTCATCTGTTTGACGTACTTGTATTATTAAGAAACAGAAACCAAAAGTCTCACCGTTCAAAATATGTTTTCAAGATAATCTTAAGGAGCTGAGAATTTGTGGAAAATGTTAAATGGGCCTGTTCCAAACTTTTGCTAGAGCAAAAATTAGAGTTGTTTTTTATAGATAATACCTCAAAAATCACGATGAGCGTATCGACAAAGTCTGAAATGCACTCATAACTTCACAATCTGCATAACAAATTTGCCGTTTTTTGAGCTTCTCACTTCAAAAACGATACTATGGTAGGGATGGACGGTTATCGAATTTGAATGCGATTATTCGAATATTCAAAACTTTTCGATTGTGATTATTTGAGAAATCGAAACTTGCGATTTTGAATACTTCGGAAGCGAATATTCGAATGTGATGCGATTATCTCAGTGCCGATATTTCGAATATAAGATATTCGATTTCTAAATATTCGACCATCCCTATACTACGGCACAGGTGAACATGTTGTTAGAGGAGTCGTTCCATCGTCAGCAATATTCATCATGGCCGACAGCAATCCGCCAAAACACGCGTGATGGGATGAGATAACACCTGACCAGGATAAGACCGGATAACAATCTGCATGTTTACGTTCATATTTTCCTCGCCCACCTTGATTGACCTTGAACTCTCCTCAAATTACACGCGGAACTGCAGAAGCGTCAGCCATGATGAATATTGCCGACGATGGAGAGACTCCTCTAACAAAATGTTCACTTGTGCTGTAATATCGTTTGTGAAGCGGGAAGCTCAAAAAAACGCAAATTTCTTGTGCAGATTGTGAAGTTATGTGTGCATTTCAGACTTTGCTGATGCGATCATCGTGATTTTTGAGGCATTATCTATAGGAAACAACTCTAATTTTTGCTCTAGCAAAAGTTTGCAACAAGCCCATTGCAGAGCTAAATAGTGATAGAAGGTATTTAAAAAAATCCATTTTGTAAACCCATTACCACCCAAACCCAAAAAGTTACTAGACTAAACTCCTAAATTATGAATATTTGAATATGTAAGGAGCTCTTACAAGCTGATTTTTGTGAGTTGTACAATTTTTACCGATTCTGTATACTTTTCCTCCCCAAATCATGTCTGAAACAATAAAAGCCACCCCCACCTGAAATAATGGTAACTCCAGCTGCAGAAAAATCTGAAACATGAGAAAGTATGGTGTGGTACAAAATTGTTGAAAATTGTAAGAAACAAACCAATTGCAAACGCTGAAAAGAATTCAGCTGGGTGTTTGGTACGGAATACTTCGACCGTGCAACCTTCTGTTCGTCTTCACGGAGCTTCTCCTTGGCTCGCACCACATTGTCATACTCGAGCAAAAGTCGATGGCGATAAAACTCAATTTCAGCATCTAGCTGGTCGTTTAATTTGTTATCTGTTTAAGAAATGCAAACATACAAGATTGTAGGCAGATTAGCAAACAGAAAACACTGCTCAGGTCAGAAAAACAAAAAAAAGCTAATTGTAAGTATTTTTGTAAATTATATAGTCTAATTTTCTGAGATAATTAATTCGTTGTTCATGCACACTTTCACGAATTCACCTTCTTCACAACAAATTTAGATTAGCTGCGCACAGCTTATAGGCTAGGCTATATCCAATTGTGCATAGATATCGAACATGGCTACATAGGGGCCATTCCTTATGAAGGGTTCTACTGATACAAGAAAGAGATAGCATAAAATGGATATTACTTTAACTACATGTGAAGTTTAATTTTGACCACTGACCTATTTCAATAAATGGGTATCTCAGATAGGAGTCTGCATGAGAAGTTGGGGGAAGTTCAGAGTCAATTTCTTCGAGTTTATCAAGCTGTTTGCGGAGACATTCTTTAGGATTGTTCATTGGATTACCAGTGGATAACTCCAGCTCAGAACATACTTTTCGTCCTGATCCTACAAAAAATAAGTTAACATGTGAATTATGTAAGAAAACGATAATTCTAGAAGGGAAAGTAAATAGGAGGAACTTCCCAACTTAAAACTTTTAAAATAATTTGAACTCTTTTCGACATTTGAAAGATGAACAGAGGCAGGGAGCTATCTCCTAAAATTCATAGACGAAAATGTGACATGTTTCAAAGTGCCTGCTTTTCTGTTCACCTGGAGCTTTTTGTTCTTTTGTGAACTTTGAACAATCTTATTAAAGACCTTAAACTTCTGAAAGAGTGATGCTTTCAAAGTAAAATTGAAGATGTTACAACTAAACTTATCTCCACGTTTTTTTTCTTATGAGTAACACTTCACGAGCATAATGAAAAGTACACATTTTGAATAACACATATGTATTTTGATTGCAGTGTTCTAATAAAATGTTTAATTTTGGCTAAATTTTTACTTTTCAAGAGAGAATCTTTCAATTTATTGCATGAAAATATCAGAGAATATTTTTGATAGGCCACAGAAAAACTATGCGGAATCACAAAATTTGCTTTGAAAACAAGGTGCCAAGAAGCACACCGACCAAACAAAGATTATTCAGCTTATCGCATGAAACGTCCACTTCAGAATACATACCACTCACGACATCGGAGAGTAATTCTTTCGGGTTGAGCTTGAGATTGTTATTCTTCCCTTCGCCAGACTGTCCAGTCGTGCTAGACTCATCATATCGAAATGGACGGAAATTCGTCTCTTTGTTGGAGAGGAACTTGGACGCTATGCTCAAACTTGTGCTAGTGGTGTCTCCTTTTGAATCACTGTCCGGATACAAGTCAAGCTTCTTTTTGCGTGGCCTGAAAGTAAAAGATATGAGTGAAAAAAACAGTTTCTACAGCAACATAGTGAATCCCAAATTCAAATACAGTAAAACTAAGCTTGACAAGAGATGGTTTTTAGCTTCTGGTATCTTGTTAGCATGCTTAAAATGGTTAGGATGTAAAGCGGCTTGAGTTAAAATTTTTTCTGATCTATTAACTTTTTCACTTTAAGAGCTTTTATCATACAAGGAAACCATTTGTACAAGATTGCAGCTGATAAACAAACGCCTGTTAGCGGGTAGAAAAATGATATTTACTCAAGTTTAAACTATTAATGAAGAATACAGTGGCTTCACTGCAGAGAAATTCAAGGAAAAAAGCTCACCGGTCAGTTAACGATCGGGTTTGAATGATAGAGATATCAGTGTCCTCTGCAGAAGTGTCTTTTGTTTTTTGACGGTATTGTTGCTGAAACTTTGCTGTAGCTTTAGCCTGACGTTTTCTTTCGACAGACAACCTGATATCATTCCTCATTTGCAAAAATTTCTCCTTCAAGCCATTATACTTGTCCTCTAGGATGCGATACTTACAGCGCAACTTTTCGTACTCTCTGAAAAAGACAAATTGCAGCCAAGGTTAGAAATACATGGATTGTTAACTTAAAAAATGAAAAAAAAAACAGCCTAATACCTGTGATCCATTTCTTAGGGTTAATCTATTCTAAAATCATATTCCAATGCTGTACAGTAATTCTAAACTCTACTTGTTCTCCCTTTTTTTACATATAATTTGGTACTAATCAGGCTAAATACTTGAGGTTTTACTGTGTGGATAAAATAAAATAAGGTTTCTTTATTTTGCAATACCTACGGTGATTATTGGAGAAAAAAAGAGAAACTTACATTTTCTAGCACTTCTATAATCTTTCCTCTAAAAAAGTATTTTATTAATGAAAATGTCAGGTGCAAACTTTCTTTGTTCAGAAATAAAAGAGAGATTATGTTGGCATACCTGCTTAACTGAGCAAAATCAAGACAATCTTTATCAACTTTGTAGACCATCCCTTCTAAAGCTTCCACTTTTTCTTTATGTTTCATTTCTAGCAATGCTTCCTGAAAGAAAAAAAATCAAAAATTGCAATGGAAACTTAGTCTACATTGTCTAGCATCCTGATACATTGACTAATATTCACTTCTGGCTGAAGTTTCAACAGTTTTGGTAGACTCAAAAGAATCACAGGATGGCCATTTTAAGCACGCAACTGCTTCTTTTCAGGCAAATAGGTTGCAAAAAATCCCCAAGTCAGAAATGAATTAAAATAATAGAAAAAATATAATAAGTAAGTTTGCTGAACCATTAAAGATGTTGATGCTGAGGAGTTGCCTGTTATCAAACAGCGCACATCTAATAGGGTCTCCACGCTATCAATATCTTGGCCTGTTCTGCGTTTTGATTAGAGAATAATAATTATCTCTTCTACTCGCTATTTTTTCTCTCTCCCTTCTCCTGAAGATGGCGACCACCTGCTGCTCCTAGATTCCATTCTACTTATTTAGGCTATTTTTGGTCATTCAGGACTGTTTCGATCCTCTCATTGCAGTCTAACTATTTAAACAGAATTTTTCAATAAAATCTTTAATTCTGAAATAATTGCTAATTGTATATTTTTCATTCACTTTCAATTTGCGGCTATTTGAAAAATACTTTCTTCCTAAAAATTTAAACTGTGACCCTGTCACGCCTCGTGAATGACTTAACTCTGAATATGCTGTGTCCGTTGATTTGCAACAAAATTTGACTTCAAAATGTTTTTCACTCAGAAGATCATGCAATCTCTTCGAACCTGTAAAGTATAAAGTGGCGAAACACAGGACTTGACCACTCATGACCCTATCATGACACAGACCTAGACTCTCTCTCTCCCTCGAAAGTTCATTAAAAGATTCATGAACTGTTTCATTTTTCAAATTTCTCTGACAAAGAAATATATAGAAGTTTGCAACTGAGAACAGGGACATTCGGAGGACATTGTTAATGATCTGAGCTCTGACCTCTTTAGCAAACATGTCTTGAATATGATCCATGTGTCCTTTATGCTGCTCGAATATTTCATCCATATAAGACTTATTCTCGTGTTTGACGATCATGAGTGCATCTTTGTTGCCCTGCCGCATCTCAAGCAATTCCTGCGCCAGTCTTTCTTTTGTTGCTTTCACCTGTTCTTCGCCTTCCTTCCGTGCAATGTTCAGTTTCTCATTGTAGCTCGCCTGCATGTCCTTCAGCGTTTTTTCCAGCACCTAGTCATCACAGGCAATGTATTTTACTCAATTCAAGGCCAATTAAAAAAAGTAAACAGGTACATTCCTAAGGAGAAAGGACTTTTGTGCCGTGAAACTCAAGATAGAGATACTATTCCTGTTGTTCTGATAAGTATTTCACAAAAATTCGGTATGAGGAACATCCAACAATATCAAACTAAACTGAGTTAAAATTGCTTGGAAATAAGGAGCTCAAAAAAATTAATTTAAAAAAAAAAAAGCTTCTCATAGTTTTCCCTTATTCAAGATTCAAAATTGTTAAATTTGAACACAACTCTGAGCTTTCTAACAGCCTTAAAATAAAATACTCTCTACGTAACTTGTTTTCTGGAATGCTTGAATGTGTCCATTGAAAACTAAAAACTCAATCAATTTATAGAACTTGATAAAAACACTCTGGGTAATTTTGCATCTGTGTACAGAAGTCCTTTCTTCTATGCAAATTCACGAATACTTCATCATCCAAACTTTCCAGTTCTAGGGGCAGAAATATCACTTCTTCAGGCTCACAGGTAATTTTAAAGACAAAGCGGAGAATTAAACGATACAAATCTTGTTTACAAACGGCTATTGAATGCAAAGCTTTACAACACACAGAATCATAAATCTATTACTTTTTCTAGAAAATACTACTTCCAAAATTGTAGAACTTAGATCGAGTTGGTATCATGCAGTGAATTATTTTAAAAGAATTTGATCGTTTTCATTGGCGTATAATTTTTGGTAATAAAAGGAGTACATCACTCTTTGATGTTGGGGTGTTTTTCTTTCAAATGATAGGCTTGAAAAAATTTTCCGTAAAAATGAATCAGTCCAACTTCACCTGTATGCGAGTGTAAAATAAAGGCTCCTGGCCAAACATGGCACCTTACAAATTCTTGATGGCCTCAATTTCTGCTGCTCATCTCAGTATTTCATGCATAATGATTACCTCATCAAAAATCATGAAGGATCCTTAATGCTTGTAAATGACCATTGAAAAATAAACTTGCCACTTCAGATGACTCATGGAATTATGGGTTGAAGTTGGAAGGCTACTAGCATCATAATTAGGATGAAAGAAAAATTCTTAAATAATTTTTAAGGGAAGGCTAAGAAGAGAAATATCGAAGTCCCAAACCTCTTTTTCAACATTTAGTTGAGTTCGAATCAGCTCAAGCTCCTTCTCTGCTTTTTTCTTGACTTCTTCCATCTCTTGCTGTTTAGTTGCTTTCAGGAGTTGGAGTCGAGCATCAAAGTCCGATGTTATATCTGCCAATGTCTTTTCAACATGCTTACTTTGTTTTTCAACCTCTGCCTCTTTGTATTTATTCAATTTTGATAATTTCTCCTCCAACTCTGTTAAACTTTGATCAAGCTCCTGTTCAGAAAGATTTATATGATTAATATTTTATCAATAACAGTGTAACACAAATCAAATGCGAAAAAAAGTCTAAAAAGTTCAGCTATTCTTCAATTATTTTAGGCACTGACTATAGAGAAAAGAATGGTAGATTCAATTATTTCCTCGGTCAATTTTGGCGCGAACTAAGAAATAGGTTTTAATAGACTTTTTTTGGGTGCAGAATCTCAAGTTAAAGATTAGAATTACCAGAAAATTTCCTAAATTTGATCGCATCTTTTGACTACCACCACAATTGGCGAAGGACATGGTTGAATCCTCGATCTTTCCGTTTTTTCTTATAGGTAAACAAGGTTTTCTGTTCTGGTAGATTTTAAAACCCTGCTATTTACATCACAGAGGAAATACATAGTATGGTCTTCAAGGAAAAATGTATTGGTCAAACTGATGAGGTTTCAGAAAAGTAACATTTCAGGCTCCTTGTGCAACTCAGAGAGACAATGGATTACTGGCCTGAAAAATTTGATATTTTAAAGTGAAGTGAGATGCAATAAAGCATTGAAAATCTCCACTTTAAGAAAAAAAAACGTATGGTGGTATCAAAACTTTCGGTTAAAAACTCTTGTGAAACTTTTCTTAAGCACACTTTTAACAGTCATTTTTAAATTGAGGAAAAACTTTTAACCATTTCTTTCACCCTAAAAATATTCATAAGACTCAGCTTTCTCTCTCTCTTTCTCTAAAATTCCTTGATTGGATTATACAACTGCAGACACAGATAAAATCAGTACCAGAGTTTTTTCTTTTTTGGATTTTAATTTGTCTTCAATGGATTTCTCAAGTCTATTGACAAGTTCGGCGGTGTGTTTGGCAGACTCAGTTTCTTCCTCGCTCCAAAGCCCTTGTACACGTTCCAGCACCCTGAGAAAAGCAACAAAACGTGTTGGTTTTTTACAAACAATGAAATCAGTCACATAAACTTTCACAAACTGAAGCAAAGCCAACTTGGTGAAAGGAGTAGTCTGCTGAGTGGGTTTTTTCGATGCTCGCTTTTCTTTTTTCTTTCTTTAAGGTTACTGAATGCAGTATCGTGATATTCCCCCCCCCCTCCGCTCCATGATTTTCTTCGAAAATATAACAACTACCATCACTACTTCCTTTCCTTGGGGCAAATTTTTGCGATAAAAAACGAAACAATTTTTGGGTTGGTGAATGCTAAGTGATACTAATGTTTGATGAATGCTTTAACAAATCAGAGACAAGAATAGATGAATGCTTAAAGCTAAAAAATGCATGTATGATAAATAGGCGTACGCGTACATAATAGTAGCAATTAAATGAAANAACATTTAGTTGAGTTCGAATCAGCTCAAGCTCCTTCTCTGCTTTTTTCTTGACTTCTTCCATCTCTTGCTGTTTAGTTGCTTTCAGGAGTTGGAGTCGAGCATCAAAGTCCGATGTTATATCTGCCAATGTCTTTTCAACATGCTTACTTTGTTTTTCAACCTCTGCCTCTTTGTATTTATTCAATTTTGATAATTTCTCCTCCAACTCTGTTAAACTTTGATCAAGCTCCTGTTCAGAAAGATTCATATGATTAATATTTTATCAATAACAGTGAAAACTTCACAAATCAAATGCGAAAAAAAGGTCTAAAAAGTTCAGCTGTACTTCAATTATTTTAGGCACTGACTATAGAGAAAAGAATGGTAGATTCAATTATTTCCTGGGTCAATTTTGGCGCCAACTAAGAAATAGGTTTTAATAGACTTTTTTTGGGTGCAGAATCTCAAGTTAAAGATTAGAATTAACAGAAAATTTCCTAAATTTGATCGCATCTTTTGACTACCACCACAATTAGCGAAGGACATGGTTGAATCCTCGATCTTTCCGTTTTTTCTTATAGGTAAACAAGGTTTTCTGTTCTGGTAGATTTTAAAACCCTGCTATTTACATCACAGAGGAAATACATAGTATGGTCTTCAAGGAAAAATGTATTGGTCAAACTGATGAGGTTTCAGAAAAGTAACATTTCAGGCTCCTTGTGCAACTCAGAGAGACAATGGATTACTGGCTTGAAAAATTTGATATTTTAAAGTGAAGTGAGATGCAATAAAGCATTGAAAATCTCTACTTTAAGAAAAAAAAACGTATGGTGGTATCAAAACTTTTGGTTAGAAACTCTTGTGAAACTTTTCTTAAGCACACTTTCAACGTTCATTTTTAAATTGAGAAAAAACTTTTAACCATTGCCTTCACCCTAAAAATATTCATAAGACTCAGCTTTCTCTCTCTCTCTCTAAAATTCCTTGATTAGATTCTACAACTGCAAACACAGATAAAATCAGTACCAGAGTTTTTTCTTTTTTGGATTTTAATTTGTCTTCGATGGATTTCTCAAGTCTATTGACAAGTTCGGCGGTGTGTTTGGCAGACTCAGTTTCTTCCTCGCTCCAAAGCCCTTGCACACGTTCCAGCACCCTGAGAAAAGCAACAAAAAGTGTTGGTTTTTTACAAACAATGAAATCAGTCACATAAACTTTCAGAAACTGAAGCAAAGCCATCTTGGTAAAAGGAGTAATCTGCTGAGTAGGTTATTTCGACGCTCGCTTTTCTTCTTTCTTTCTTTTAGATTACTGAATACAGTATCGTGATATTCCCTCCCCCCCCCCTCCTCTCCATGATTTTTTTCGAAAGTATAACAACTACCATCACTACTTTCTTTTCTCGGGGCAAATTTTTGCGATAAAAAACGAAACAATTTTTGGGTTAGTGAATGCTAAGTGATACTAATGTTTGATGAATGGTTTAACAAATCAGAGACAAGAATAGATGAATGCTTAAAGCTAAAAAATGCATGAATGATAAATAAGCGTACATAATAATAGCAATTAAATGAAAAAGTGGATAGTTAGATTTGAGACAATTAAGCGGAGAAGAAAATGGCGTCCATCTTACTTAAAACTAAATTATTTCAACCTATTGTGTACATTATTCATTTATAAAAATGAACCACTTCGGACATTAGAAACTTGAATGGAGGGAATTGTACACAAATAAGAAAAAAAAAGAGGGTTTATTTAGACAAGACACATGTGATCGCAAGTATTCGCCTTTTTCTTTGGACAACAGAAATCTACTGTCACAAAATCTGTCATAATAGATCATACCTTTTAACATCGTTACCATCTTCTGCAGCCCCACTGGGCCCTACTAAGTGAGAAAAATGGCTGCCTCCTGAAGCTGATCGAAAATTTTCTTGGCCCATCTTCACACCCTCTTTCTCAAATTCCTGCAGAGAGAAAGACCGAATTTTAAAAGACAAAAATAATTTTTAAAAAAAAGGAAAAAATTGTGTTTGAAACTGACCGTTGTCATTTAGCGATTATGGTGTTCAGTATTTTGACTTTTCTTTACATTGTTTTTTTTGCATTTATATTTTACGATTTTCAATTATGTCTATAAATGCACTCCACTGCATGTTACTCACCCCTGTTATTCATGGAATATTTGTCCCCTATTATCGAGCTCACAACAATGTCAGCAAATTTCTAGGATAGTGAAGAAAGAGAGTTTCTGAAAGTAACTTACTTTTTGATTGACTGATGTCTCGAGAGAAGGAGAATCTCGTTTGAAATTCCCAGAGGATGAATCCTTGCACTCTAAAAGAGAATCACTTTTCAGAGAATCATCAAATCTATCTTGGTTGAGAAGACTTGCTCGTCGCAAGTTAGCTGATAAATTACGAGCCTCCTTTGATACGTTGTGGGCATTCAAGGCTTTGGCACTTTCTTCTTCGGAGACCTCTTGTGAATCAAACGCATTTGAAGCACTTGATGACACACTTTCTAACTCATTCACACCAAAACGGATGTTGAGCACTTTCTTCAGCGAGCTTGGCGTGATTTTAGTACTTTTGATAGAGTTTTCGGGCTGCGAACTTTGAGAGCTGTCTAACTTGAGATCTGTTGATGATTTTTGCAGCCTGAAAGAAGAGAAGAAAGTCTCATGAAAATTGTCTTTATGAACCAAGGGGTGTCTCTTGAGTTTTCAGAGAATGTTGCATCAAAAAGTAATAAAAATGAGAAGACCCTTGAGGGTATTGGAGGATTCTCCAAGCTGGAAAAAATGAGTCTGACAGTGCTTGCGACCAAGAATCTTGAAGGAAAGACTTACGAAGCAACACTGCATAGGCTAGAAGCTCAATCAGTTCTAATAAAGTCAATATTTCTGTCAACAGTGGCCTTTTCAAAGTTGACTCGTATTATCAAAACAAAGGTTCCGAACTCTCCTCCTTTCAGAGCATCAAATTACATGAAATAAACAGGTAGCTTTGTGAAAATAAAAATGTATAAATAATTAAACAAATTGATGACAGAAAGAGGTACATGAATTAAAACTTCAGCCTTCTTTTCTAAATGAGCTGAATGTATAAATCCAACTTCAAGGTTTTTTCATGCAAGATTTGGGACCTGAATTTACTTGCATTAAAATTCAAGTTTAGAATTAGATGGTACCTGTCAGCTGAGTCCTTCACTATGAGATTACTTCTATTCTTCCTCATTAATAGCTTGCTCTGTTCATCTGAAACGTCCTCACTTTGAAAAGAGTGATCGATTAACCTATCACTGGGCTGAATACTCTCATGGAACAAATCCTCATCAATATCTCCGACAAGTGTGTTGCAATCTTGTGCGTCCGTTGTGTGGGACCGGATCAATGGTCGCTCGCGTTTCGTCGAGAATTCTGACAAGTTCTGGGCTGAGATTGATTTAGACGACATCAGTTTCTTCTTGCCATCAAAGATGGCCCCATGACTGTTGACTGAGTCTTCATTGTCACTACATTCTTTCTTTCCGTCCGTCTCCATGCTATCTTTATCGTCGGTTTTCTTCCCAGATTTTTTGAGGAATGCCGAGCCTCCACCTACAAATAAAAATAAAAATTTACAATTTCTTGGATTTTGAAATGGTACAGTTTTTTTTAAATGAAATGAGGTTCCTGCAAGTGGGAAAATCTGTTTGATAAACTGTTACCGTGTACAATTTTTCTACGAACATACATTCAGGAGGTTTTAATGAGCTTGAGAGTTTACTATGAGATAAATCAGGGCCATAAGGGTGTTTCCTGAGAAATGTAGTTTATACCTAATTGGTGAATATAGTAGATTGATAACAAATATTTCAATAAAATATTTTAGAAATCAAAGGTGGAAAGAAAAGTCCACCTTCTTGGAAACTACATCAAAATTCAAAGGATGATTTGTCGTTTAGTTTGTGCACTGTTACTTTCATTCTGAATTACAGTGGCTGATATTTTCCTTGATAATCTGCAGTTAAAATGTAACCTGTTTATTCAATCTTAGTTTTAACTCATGTTTAGTAGGAAAAATCATTACCCATGAGAGTGAAGGACGATTTAACTTTGGTTTTTCCTGGATTTAGAGAAGATACCACACCACTATCAGTTGACAATCCGAGACTTGCTACATCGTCAATTGAAATTTTGTGGAGCGATTCATCCTCCATGGCAGCATCTTTGTCTGATAGATGGAAGCGAACAGTCCCCTTCCGCGATTCAGTCTTGCTAGTTTTCCTGAGGATTTTAGGACAAAATTAAAGATTTAGAGGAATCCAAGAAACAAATGTAAAATTAACAAAAATTACTGTTGATAAAAATATGGAAACTAAACCTCATGCCACAAGCAGTCTGATGTGTATTTTTAACCGAAAGGTTGTCCTTAAAAGTTAAGACTGATGTACAACATTAGACTCCGTCTAGTTCTGACAATTGAAATACTTTTTGTTTCACATGCTCAGCTCATCCACTAATCATATTTGTAATGAATGAAGTGAATTTTTTTGACCAAATATGATGATGCCAACTTGAGTAGAACAAAAACTAAAGTCCCTCTGACAGCAGTTTTGATTTATCCTCTTGGCAGCACTTTGTACCATTTCCACTCACGGTTCGTTTGAGTAAAAGTTATATGAAATTGTCTATCACTCAAAAAGTCTTTTCGGATTCGAAAAGTAGAGTGAAAATGGAGTCTTTCTAGCTAAAAATGAAAATAGGTTGTTCGAGCTCCTGGAGAAATATATCGTTTTTTGTATTTTTTAGGGCTTATTAGAGGGTGATACGAAAATTGAATCAAATTTCGTGAATGTTTCTGTTTTAATTTCTAAACTAAGATAGCTATCAAAATGATCTTGGTTTCATTTTAAAGCTGGTGTAATTTGCCGTCGATTGAATAGTCTGAAAGCTAATTTTGTCAAAAATTGACAAAGTTATGATAGCTTGAATAAAGGGTATCCAAAATAAGCTTACTTGTTTTCCTTACCGAGTAAGGCTCTATTTTTTCTTTTTTTCCCTTCAAGACCAAAAACACTAGAGTCAATCTGTAAAAATTACAGCATTTGTGGTACTCTCAGGTCTGTAACGAGCGTCAGATTTTTAAATTTGACCCATTGGTTCCGGAGAAAATCAATTTTTGGTTTCGGTTCCGTTCTACTTACAATCAGCTATTGACATACGGCACAAGACGCGCCACTGACGAGGAGACCAAGTACAGAAAATCGATTTTATCCACTTTAACAATCGATCAAATTTAACATGTAAGGCTCGTTAGAAAGTTCAAAATATGATAAAGAACATTTTACTCTTTGCGTGTTTTCCCTAAGCCCCCATTTTTTGGAGTTATGGGTCATTTTCGGGGCAATTTTCAATTCGATGCTGTAAGTGGCCAAAATATTCACATTTCAAAATCTAAAAGTCTCCTGAGAGGAGAGGCCAATACCTTTTTATTGATGTGCCATATGACCCCTGCTGCTCCAAAATTTTGGGGGCCACGACCTCTCAAAATTTTTGGGGCTTTGGAGGGCCATAAGTCACAAAAATTTCAAATAGCAAGGGTATGTTTCGACTTCAGATATGGATTCTACGCAAAAAATTACGTAGAATTGATATGGCGCACGGCCTGTTTGCTCCAAGTTACTAAAGAACTCCATTTCTCCATAAAAGGCAGAGTATTTTTGGAGAAAATAAGGGGCACAAAAAATCTGAATCAAACAGGCTGTGCGCCATATCATCATGGAAAGGGTATGTTTTGACTTCAGATATGGATTTTACGCCAAAAGTAACGTAGAATTGATATGGCGCACGGCCTGTTTGGTTCAGATTTTTTGTGCCCCTTATTTTCTCCAAAAATACTCTGCCTTTTATGGAGAAATGGAGTTCTTTAGTAACTTGGAGCAAACAGGCCGTGCGCCATATCAATTCTACGTAATTTTTTGCGTAGAATCCATATCTGAAGTCGAAACATACCCTTGCTATTTGAAATTTTTGTGACTTATGGCCCTCCAAAGCCCCAAAAATTTTGAGAGGTCGTGGCCCCCAAAATTTTGGAGCAGCAGGGGTCATATGGCACATCAATAAAAAGGTATTGGCCTCTCCTCTCAGGAGACTTTTAGATTTTGAAATGTGAATATTTTGGCCACTTACAGCATCGAATTGAAAATTGCCCCGAAAATGACCCATAACTCCAAAAAATGGGGGCTTAGGGAAAACACGCAAAGAGTAAAATGTTCTTTATCATATTTTGAACTTTCTAACGAGCCTTACATGTTAAATTTGATCGATTGTTAAAGTGGATAAAATCGATTTTCTGTACTTGGTCTCCTCGTCAGTGGCGCGTCTTGTGCCGTATGTCAATAGCTGATTGTAAGTAGAACGGAACCGAAACCAAAAATTGATTTTCTCCGGAACCAATGGGTCAAATTTAAAAATCTGACGCTCGTTACAGACCTGAGAGTACCACAAATGCTGTAATTTTTACAGATTGACTCTAGTGTTTTTGGTCTTGAAGGGAAAAAAAGAAAAAATAGAGCCTTACTCGGTAAGGAAAACAAGTAAGCTTATTTTGGATACCCTTTATTCAAGCTATCATAACTTTGTCAATTTTTGACAAAATTAGCTTTCAGACCATTCAATCGACGGCAAATTACACCAGCTTTAAAATGAAACCAAGATCATTTTGATAGCTATCTTAGTTTAGAAATTAAAACAGAAACATTCACGAAATTTGATTCAATTTTCGTATCACCCTCTAATAAGCCCTAAAAAATACAAAAAACGATATATTTCTCCAGGAGCTCGAACAACCTATTTTCATTTTTAGCTAGAAAGACTCCATTTTCACTCTACTTTTCGAATCCGAAAAGACTTTTTGAGTGATAGACAATTTCATATAACTTTTACTCAAACGAACCGTGCACTATTATTACATTCACCCGCTAAGGTGAATTCAAAACTGAATTCTTGTGATTTCCGGAAAAAATGCTGCAAAAAACTTAGTCAAATTTGTTTCAGGTTAGTAGTGATTGCATTTCGTTAAAAAACAAGAATTGAATCGCCAAAAATCCCTCAGAAAATTAAAATGTACAACTCACAGATTTATAATTGTGGTTGAAATACCCTCATTTTTTATGACTGCACTTCTATAAAAAAAATTAAATAGTGTTAAGCAATTTACAAGACAAGAAAGTATAAAAATTGAAACTCTCTGAAAACTCTACACTTCATAACATAATAACCAATTGATTGACTAATTACCTAAGAATTTCAGAGTGAGATGTTTTCCTATCGCTCGCCAGAGATGAAATATAGTCATCATCATATTCATTCACATGATCATATAAACTTAAATCCAATTTCTGTTTTGAGTCCATCGATGAAAACCCACTGGTTGAAATTACTGAAAGAATATAAAGGCATAATATTAAAATAAAATCTTCCTTGATGAAATGATGAATCATGAACAGGGTGGAACCACAAGAAATAAAGCATTCAGAATTTCCGGGGTAACCTTAAGAGGAGAAAGCGTTATTAAAAGAAAAAAAAAATCTACTTTCATGATTTACAATGATGCTCAATATATTCACTCTGTCATAGTCATAGTCAAAGTCAAAGTCATTGTCATAGTCAAAGTCAAAGTCGAAGTCAAGGTCATAGTCAAAGTCAAAGTCATAGTTATATTAGTCATTCTCAGTCTCTCTAGATATTTGACCATATTTATTTACATACCACTTGAAGAGTTCAAGGATCTATCCTTTAATTGCAAGTTTGGGGTGAGTGACTTATGATTCAGAGGATTTGACAACTTGGCAGACGGTTTCAAAGCTTCGTTCTTCATCTGCTTTTTCTTGCTATCCTTATCAATCGGAGTCTGAAATTAAACCAGAGAATCCTATTAGAAGGCATATAGAATGTAAACAGCACAAACTGTAAACCTAATTGCGACCAATGAAGGAGGCAACTGTAGACATGTTTTGGGTCTAATTGGACCCATCTTCAGTGCAGCGCAGCCTCCTGATTTTCTGCTTCCAAGTTTGGATAGGCGGTGAAGGCCTATTCGGGAGTTTCATGGAGAAACTTGTAAAAACTCTAGAAAAGAAGCTATCAAGGATAGCAGAGTTGCCACCAAATTTAAAAAATAAAATTTCCTGACATAACCTAGACTTTTTAGATACATTTTGGGGAAATTCTGTAACAATTAAAGATACACCGGATGGTCAAAAAGACATAATCTGAAATAATTTCCAGGCAAAATTTGTTGCTTGAAACGTCAAACCCATTCCAGAGAGCGAATGAAGGAGACTTAAAAAATTTCTCCTGACACTTTCGTCGTTTTCCCTGGTCTTTCCAGGTTTTCCCTGATATTTCTGCGTTTTTCATGGCATTTCCAAGCCTTCCATGACATTGCCCAGTTTACTCGGTATCCCATGACAGAGACAACTCTGTCTTTAAAAACTAGAGAAACTTGTCAAGTCTCTTGTGGAGAAGCTATCAAGAATAGAAGAGGAAATATATCGCATTACTCACGAGCGTTGGTTTCCGATTCAAGGATCCAGGAGTAGAAAAAAACAGAGGGTTGTTGGAAAGGTTGAGCCCTTTGTTTGGAAGCATTTCTTCGGCCACAATAAGGAGTATTTCTTGCTCTAGAGATTCAAAATCTGAGGTCAGAGGTTTGCACAGTTCCAGGAGTGAAGTGTCCTCTGCAGAAAAAAAATTGACTTTGATGTTTAAGTTAAATACTTGTATTTGATAAATCAGTGGGAAAAAATGCAGTTACTATGGTAAAAACGGTCTCTACCAAGACCCTTGGCTCATTAATGCAATCAGCAGGTTGGCATATTCTCCAATTCTAATATTGGATAGGGATCAGGGTTGGACTGACTACAAAGTAACATTTATTACACCCTCTGGGTACTTAGAGAAAATCTTGGACCCCCTTATCTCTTAAATAACTTATGTACCGCTGTAACTTATGTAAAGCTAAAATTTAAACTCAGTTCCAACCTTCATCTGATGAAGCAAACACTTACAATTGAAAAAATTTACCCAAAACAAGTCTATCTGCTAAAGATTTTGTATGTAGATAGACATCTTGTGCATGAAAGCATCTTTTGCATGTGCCTCTGCAACTATGTCAGATTAAAAAGGGTACTAGCAATAACATTTTTGGCTGGTACTGAAGGTTCATTATAGAACATGGGGGTTAAGCACAATCAGTCAGAGCAATAATTAATTAAATTCCTTACATTTCTCGTAGGGTAATTCTTTATTTTAAAAATTGAAAATGTCAAATTTTTGAAGATTCTTTGCAGTATGTAAAACACATCAGTTTCAAGATTGAAAAAAACGAACGATAAACAAGCAATGTTTGTCTGGTGCCCAAGAAAGTGAAAGAGTACATGGTTAAATTAAGCTTTTTAATATGTTCATTTACGGCTCTTAGAAGAATAATACATTAGTATATAAATAACATCTAGAAAATTGTATTTTACCCTTGCACACTATTCCCCTTAAATTTCACATGAATATTATTTGTGATTCTTTCTTGAAACTAATATGCTTTAAACCTACATTGAGTATTGAAACTTTCATGGAGTTGACCACTTGAAGATCTTAAATTTAAAATTAAAGGACATGTTGACCTCCGATTGATGTTTCAACCTCTGCTTGGTGTTTCAGTCATTACCTTCGTTATTTTCCGCTAAGTATCTTGCTTTCAGCACAACATTCCGGTAGAGTTCATCGTATGGATGCTCCCAAATAGTCTCTTTTGTTTTAAAGTTGAAGTAATACCAGTTTTTGGTCTCCACATGATAGCTGAAAATAGAGAGTGATACTGTTATATGAAAAAGGAGAAGAAAAATAAACATCAGCATTTTAAATAAACATAACAAATGAAACCATTCAAAAATAAAAGAAAGGTGACGAGGACAGATTCTTTTGTTACGTCACGATTATTTGCCCTTGAGGAAATCGAGAGTGTTTCAAAAGTTTTTAGTATTAACGGACTTTGGTTAGTATAAAAGCCAAAGAGGTAACCTGAGCTGGGCAGAGAAAGAGACTGGGCAGAAAATCCTCAACAATTTCCATAAAATGATGTTTTTTTTATATGCAAATTTTTATAGTAAAATATAAAAATTAATCAGTGAATTTTTGAGCAAACAAAGCGGAAAACTTTGCATTTTAAATCGACCACTTTGAGCCTGCAACACAGCACATTACATTTTTGGACAGCCTTCCCAAAAAACTGCGTAGTTAAGGCTGCAAAGTTCAAATTGTTATAATTCCATTTTAGTTTAAAATTTTTGGTCATACCATGTGCCAAAATTTTTGTGAAGAGACCACTGAAAATTGCTTTGAACTTTTTCATCTCCAGACAAACTATGGAAATCTTGGTTAATTGCTAGCGGTGACATTCCACTTGATAAAATCAAAAAAATTATCTTTTAGAAAAATCATTTCAAATCTTCACTCTGAGAATTGATTTTACTGCAACTAAATACAAACCAAGGCTGCCAATGAGTAGGAAGGGGCCGTGTCAATCCATCAATAGCTAGCGGCAACAGGTGAGGTTCATCTTCTAAACTAATTCCAATTTTCAGCGCATATTCTTTAATTTCTATACACATAAAAATAGCATATAATTACTAAAGGTTAGGATAGGAAGACTGACTGAGTTAAAAAAGTGAATATTCATTCTCGTTCTAACTCCATAGAGGAAGTGCCCATCAAAGAAGACTGTACAAAACTCAGAGTAGAATGGTGAGAAAAACAAGAATTTTGCGAAAAGGTAGTTGTTACATTAAAAAATTCTTCTTTTTTTTACCAATTTCAAATAGCCTATCGGCTAATCCCATGCTTATTACCCCAGCCCCAGGTGACCTTTGCCTGAGACCATCAAACTCAGATCACCTGGCCAGGAATCGAACCCAGGACCTTTTGGTCATAGGGCCAGCACTACAGCCACTACAATACAGGAGGCCGACCACCACCTTGAAACTGACAAATTAGGTCTTTCTGTCTTGTTTAGGCCTTCTGCCTGTTTGGTTTTGATAGTTGGTCAAAACTACTTCACTTTGCAATTAGGAACTACAATGTCTAGCAAATCCATAAAAACACTTATGTACAAAGGGAAACTAATGGTACAAACGTTGTTTCTAACGCGAGCCAGAAATTGTAGTTTCAATTGCAAAATGTAGTCCAAAAAGTAGAGTCCTTCCTGAATGACTCAGCCACACACAGAGTTGAAGGAAGAGAAGATAATGTTGAGAATATTCATCAGTTCGATTCATTTATTCCTTCACTATAATAAAGACAGCAAATGTTTTGTTGCACTCTACAAGAGGGCAAAATCACTTAGCTTTAACTTAAGAAAAAAATTGGGGTTGCTCTAATAATAAATGTAATAAATGAAAAGCTAAGTATTGAGTGCAGCACACTTAGGGGCACGAAGTAAGTTACTGGACACTGAAAAATATTAACTTGGGAAGTATCATCAGTGGATCGGTTACCAATTCCACCTCCCTTAGAATATTCAAGGGATGTCCAGAATATCCTACTTGACGGGCACTCTGATCCTGTCATTTCATTTCACTTTAGAATTGTACTTGGCCGAGTTTGAAATGAATATGAAGCAACAGAAAAACTGGGTCCGGCAGGTAAAAGAAACCGCACCACTCAAGATTGTATGAATTGTAGCACGTAAGAGTCATGGAAATGTTAAAACCTTTTCATGTTCAGCCTAACTCTCTACCTAATTCCCAGGATCAGTCTTCCAATGGTTAACTCAGTGGACAACAACCAAATGATGGGATTAAAACTAATAAGATAATGACCTAGATAGTTACTTGATCCTGATGATCTTGATAAAAAAGTTTAAGTCTAATAGGATAACACTTTTAGTTCTTGAGAGTTATGATGGAAAATTCAACTTTTAATTCAATATTTCAACTTACAGTTGACATTTGCATCTCTCACAACTGACCTGGTTGAATGAGAATGCCTATGACGTATAGGAACTACGAATCTGACATGAACAAGCGGTTATTAAAAAGTCAAATTCAGCATGATGAAGAAAGTAAGCCGACAAATCTTACAGCTAAGAGATATTTGAAACTAGCTAACAAAAGATCAGTCGGTTATGCACTTATGTTCATGAGTAAGGAGATACTTGAGATGCATATTACCTTCCTCCGATGGAGGCTCTGAAGTTTTGTCGAATATTTCTTTGCATACGATTGAATGAGAGGTGCTGCTCATTGTGCAGAGTGAAAGTTGCTCTTCCGAAGAAATATCTTGGACATTAAGGACACCACGAACATTTTAAATATTTAAAACGGAGAGGAGAATTTGTACATAGTAAGTAGGGTCAAGCAGCACTGAGATACACACACTCGAAAGTTGCAGACCATCATGAAGAACTTTTGATACAAATTTTAACAAAAAAGCAATTTAAACTAAAGGTAAAAAACAGGTAAATACGGGACTAGAAATCAAAGAAGAGCTTTGTTCGGTGGTACTAAAATCGACTTATCACAAGAACAAATTTTTTATCAGCTTGCTTGTTTGTTTATCGATGGTTCTTCATTCAAGATTCCTTGACGATGAACGATCCTCACGTTAGCCAATCAGAAAACTGATTTTCGATTATTGTCTCCTCCGGGAGCGGGGGGAGGGGGATTTAGTTATTATCTATTATCAGTTGATATTGCAATATTATGTTATCAGTATGTAGTTGCTAGTTGAGAACTAATGAGGAAGTAGGTACATTATTTCATATTAGGCAGGCATAATGAAACTCAATTACAAGGTTATTTTGTGATCAGTTCAGAGGTAGGCAATTCTTCACAAGATAATTACTTTTATTTTTGAGTAGATGCTGTTTTCCTTCATCATAAGAATGCTCGTCTGCCTATCAACAATCATTGGCAGGCAACTACAGAAGTACTTAGTAGATCACTCTCGATTTTGAATATTTCAGAATTCTCTAATTTAAAGTCATTCCAAATAAACAACCCCCAGTGTCCTACCCTTTATTTTCTGCCTCAATTTCATGATTCTTTGTTCCCCTTAAAGGTATCGGAGACCTCTTGCCCTTTCCTGGATTGTTGCTGCCGTCTTGCTCACCATGAATCTCACTAAACATTTGTTTAGACAGATACTGTCATCAGCAGATAGTCTTAGATTCTCTAGGTATGAAGTTTGGTTTTTTAATTGTTATAATAATGCATGTATCAAAACCTCGTTGTCGAGTGAATGTTTGTCAGTGAGTAAGTAAAATGATTCAGCTCTTGGAAAAGTTTTGCTCGTCAAAAGATTTTCATTCCCGAGCAACTCTCAGAAAACTGTGAGCAAATGTTTCAGAATAAATGAATTTATAAAGGATTGCAGGTTTGATGTGCAGTTTTTCTGATTCATATCTCATAGAAATGTACGAAGTAATCATTCTGAACTCCGTGGAGCCTCGAAGGTTCCCATACTTCTGTAAGTTTGTCCTAAGAGACCTTTTCTAGATTTTTTTGTCTTTGCTTGAAGAGATACCGTTCAATGCGTCCAAGCAGAGGAAAGTGGTTCACATTTTTGCAGCAGAGCCTAATTTTTTAAGCACTCTAAATAAACATGGTCTCGAGGTTATGTTCTTTTACATTGTATCTGTGCAGTAACTCTAAAAATCAAACTGAATGTTTAATTACATTTTTCTTTCCCTCAGGGCTTTGTCATTCATCCATGACTCAAACTACATTTATTCGTAAGTACCTATAATTTTTTCCCTCATTTGTTCATTCTGAGTGCACATTGATGTTTCTCTATGATTGTGCAAAACAATAGATCAGGCAAAATCAAATTAATCAACGCTGATCACCGCAGGAACACATCTAACATCTAGGGTAGGTAACCTAGAAACACAGAGGGTCCTTCTGTGCATGAAATAACGGCAGCCATAAAAAGCTGTGTTGGTAGCCGCACAATTCATTCCAATGCGCTTGGAAATATGTCTGTAGAAACAGCATCAAAATATGCTTTTTTTCATCAAATATGTCCAAAATGAGCCTCTTGAATGACCTACCCATGTACTGTGGGAAAAATTTCTAAATTGTGTTTTGGGCACCAAAATGCTCGTAAACCGATTAAACTGATCAAAACTCTCAGAAATTTCCATCCGATACGTAATTTCTTGAAAATGTCAAAGAACGAAAATTGAAATGTCTTGAAATTGCCCAAGTAGCACAGGTTGCAATACTTAAATAGCAATTTTATGGTAATACTATTGCTATTGTAGCGGAATTTAGTGTATGCTCTCTATAATTGCTAATTGAAGGGATTCTCACAATTGAAATTTATTGCAATAAAATTGAAGTATTTAGGTTGCAATTTTTTATGGAATTGCAAATTGCCTATCCTCCTCATGCATTGAATTTATCATAATGATACTTTAAAATTGGCATTCATCGACCTAATGATGCAAAAATATTGCAATTTCATTGTAAAAAAAAAATCACAATTTCATTCACTAAATGTTTAAATTATTTCAATATTTGTGTTGCACTGCACCTCCAGGGTGATTTTGATTTGACAAAAGGTGTGCAATTTACATCTTCGTCATTTTGAATATCTGTGATTCAGAACAGTCCAGGAAAAGTTATAGTCTATTTTACTAAGTCTGTACACTCAGGCTTGAGTACTCTTCCAGAATGTGCTAAAAAAAATCTCTTTTTACCCCTTAATGTCATTACTTAGTCATTTTTTATTTTAATTTTTGGTTGACTTTTCAGACTGGGATCAAATAAGTCAAGCGCAAGCACAAGCTCAGAGGATGCTTTGTTTGATATGTTTCGGAATGAAGAAAATGATTTACTGCCTGTTGGAAAGTTTCTTGCGGTATGCTATTATCATACTTTTGTTTGGCATGTAACCTTTTATCCTATTCTAAATTATGGTGAGTCATAAAGGTCAAATGGACTGTGAGTACGAACTATATTTACTGAATGCCCGATGATAAAACTTTCATTAAGAAATGGACCATATTTTGCAATCCGTAACTAAAATTTCTGGCTCATCCGTAAAAATACTTATGTGGAGAGGGAAGCTAATGGTGTGTACGTTGTTTCTAAACTGAGCCAGAAATTGTAGTTCTCAATGAAAAATGAATTCCAAATAAACTACAAAGAGGGTAAAAATTGAAGCACCACAAAATATGTTTCCCATCAAAATTAAACGTAAAACACCGAGGAAATATAGAAATATTTTCAATTTGACTCATGAGTGAAAAATTGGTGTTTTCTGTGGTTGTCAACTCAAACTTCCCACTTACCAAATCATCAAATTTTATGTCCATCAAATTGACCATTAAACTGATTACCTCAGTTTCCTCATGATGAAATAATTTCCTCTATGTGCTGACTTTGTCATGATAAGTTCACAAAACCTACGACGCACCTTAATTGGAGGTTTTATAGGCATCTTTCCAGCATTGATTATTTGTTAAATAGGTTGTTTGTTTCCAAGGACCGGCTTCACCTGAGTTGATTTAAGTTTTTTTACAAGGGGAAAGTTTGAATTTTCTGACTCTAATGCAAACCATAAACACTTATTCCTTATCTACTAGTTGATTTGGACCTTTTTAACATGTTTGTTAAACAATGTTATTTTCCTTTCCTCATTCTAATCTGTTGTAATTCTCCATTATCATGCCTTCTTTAAAACTTACTGGTCATTTTTTATTATTCCTCTAAAGGCACTACGAACAACCGGGTTGCGGAAAAATGATCCTCGTCTTCGAAACCTAATGGATAACCTCAGGAAAGCCAATTCATCTTTAAAAAATGAAGGGGGTTCTCCAGAAACATTGAAATTAGACCGGGAGACTTTTCATAGGTAAATATATTTATTGAATCTCCTGCTTTAGTTCTTGTTCCAGCATTGATGTCAAGAGAAACAACTTCTCTGTAGTCAATTGTATTTGCAGAGCAAAACGCTAGGTCAATTTAAAAAAAAAAAAAAAAAAAGATTTGATCATTTCTATTTTTCTTTCTTTTTTTCATAATTTCAAGAATGAAAATTTGACTTTTTAGTGGCATGAAAGTCTTAAAACTGATCATCAGTCCTGACACTCGTTATGTCTTTGTTTCAATAAGAGCTCTTATTCCTTTATGACATCATTAAAAACCTATAAACCTGTATAACTTCTACACATTAAACTCACCCAAAATGGCTAACCCAAATATTGGGTATGAACATCGATCACCCTTAAGCACACTTCTACTTTGACTGCGTGAATGAGTGAAAGAAAAATTACCATGTTGAAAATTGCTTTGTTCCATGGATTGCACAATGGGACATTTTTTCCTCCCCTGCATCTTTTCAACTTGCTTCTTGTCAGGCATTTCATGGATTCAGATCAGGAACCAAAACATAATGTACATGCACATATTGGAATATGATGGTGAAAAAACTGTGAAGTATTAGATTATAATCCAGCTCAAGAAATTGCCTCTATTCGTTTTTGTTTAGCATGGACTGAATTTTGAAGATTTATAAATTTGAATGAAGCCATGGAGTTATTCAGTTGGGTTTTGGCTGAGAAATGAAGCTTGCAAAAATAAAGGGAAGTGTGAAGTACCTCAAGGGAGTGCAACTAGTGGGGTAAAAATAGAGGAACTTTTCACAATGAATCTATTTGTTAACAGTGGTTGGGTGGTCTAGTAATATTGTAAATTTACTATTATTGATTTATCAAGGGTGTTTGCGTTTATAATGTCATGACATAAAGTTCGATTTTTTTTGCCGGCCTAGTGTTTTACAACCATATACAGTTTTATCGGCTAACATAAAATCTAACTTTAATTTTATTTGGCCTGTTTATTGTAAAATTTTTATTCAGATATGTCCATGTTTCTCATCCTCACTTTAAAATCTGTTCCTCTCTCCTCAGCATAATTTCACCAAATCTCTCGCTCATTTCACGAGCGTTTAGGCATCAGTTCATCATCCCAGACTTCCCTGATTTTACAAAATACATTGAAGAATTTTATTGGAAATGCAAAACTAATACAGAGGGAAAGGTACTTACTTGGAAAGCTGTAGTAGTGTTTTGAATCGTAGCAAAAAAGCACAACCAGAAAGTCCAAGTTTATCCATGTAATCTTTTATTGTTAGTCGTTTCCTCCTGATTTGTCTCGCAGACTTTGCAAATTTAACTGTTCTGAAATACTGGAAGCTTTTAGCTGACTGATTTGAAATTTATTCATTTTTATAAAGGATTTTACACTTGATATCTATAATTTCAGTGTCGGCTAAATTTCAATACTATCTGGTAGGTAAGACGTTCCTTACAACTCCTGAAACATGATGAGCTTTTAAAACCTAACTTTCTATGTGCTTATCTGGACTAAAGAGCGGTTGAAAATTGAATTTTTCCGCATTTTAGACACTTTATCCAGTAGAAATGTTACAACATCTGATTGTTTTGTCTCCTGGCCAGCTGAAAAAATAAGAGAGACGAAAAAAATCAAACTCCTCTTAATGATAACAGCCTGGGGCGTATTGTCCACACACACATAGCAATAATCCCACATTTCCATAAGAAATGTGCATTAGAGGACTGAAAAATTCATCTCCTGCTTCTCTGGAAATTGGTATGTAGAAAGTTTAATTTTAAATACTCATCAAGCTCAGGAGGCTCATATCAAATAATAGCGAAATTTAGCCAGTGTCAAATTTCTTGGTATTGTATCGATGACCAAAGTGCGAAATCATGTATCTCTGTTTGTAACGTTGCAGACTCCCTGTCATAATTTATTTTTTCCTCTGAAGAGTGGTCAAGGTCTTGGAAAACTCCTCGATTTTTCTTCTCTGTTAACAGAATATTTTGTCTAAATTTCAAGCCATGAAGTTGGCTTGTCTCCCTCCAAAAAATAACGCAATGGAGACATGTGGTTTTGCACTTCAATCATTGATATGTCTGGTCCTTTCCATTTTCGGAAATAATAGAGGATCGTTTCGGCAAGGTTTCTTTTACGTTTTTTTTAAAGAGAGCTAACTTTTTAAATTACATCAGTGCCTCCAACAGAGGTTAATATATTTGTCATGCTTTTATACCTATCACCCGCTGGTCTGATCCTCGAGGGATGAAAAAGAGAATTGGAAATTCTCAGTTCCTTCTTACTTCTCCAGTAAACCAATCAAAGTAATCTGAAAAAAATAATCTCTTCTGGTGGTGCTCGCATCCAATTTTGTCTTGAAATTTTTTTTTAGTTTTTTACCTAGTTTGTTTATTTTTAATCAAGCCTTTTACATAATCAAGCTGAAGCTCTTAGATTCTAATTTTTTACGGAATTTAAAAATTTCCATAGTGTCAACAAGCAGTGATACAGCATTAGTGACTTGTTTAGTCTGCAAAACTAAGTTCATATTTTTATATGTACTAAGCATAAATTTGAGGTGAACCTGAGCATTTAACAAAGGGCATAGTTGCAGTAGGGGCATCTTTGCATAGTTTATTTACAGCTGTGGTAGAGGCCATAGTTTTTTTTTTCTTCAAGTATCATGTAGCCTCCTCTTTCCTCCCGTACTTTTCCCTAACTCTCATATGTTTTCTTTCAATATAAACCTTTGCATGCCTTTTTTCCCTTCTTTACTTAATGTCTAATCCTCTAATCGAAGAGAAAATACAGGAGGTGATAAGTATTAAGGGATTTCCACCATCCGATGTCTCGTAAGTGAACAAAATTACAAACTCAAGGTGAGAACACGGAGCATAGAAAATCGAGACAGTCATTGTACCTTGTAAGCATCCAAATATTTCCAGCAATTTAATTTTAAATCTACTGTTCATAAGCTGAAATTTGGGTCAATGCTGCAGTATTGTGCAGGGTTCTAAAAATTGGAAATTTTTTGTCATATTCAGTGAAGTCCTCATGAATGATGTCAAAATAGCCACATAATCTAAACTTATCGCCACCTTGTATATATCTTCTGTGATGTCTGATTGTTTCAGTGTGTAATTTGTTATCATAAAAAGAAACTTAATTTTTTGGCGTTTGCACGAAACAATAATCAAATGATAAATTATCATGAGTACCTGATGAAGATGAGTTATTGTCTCTCATTCGGGAGGGCTTTCCAAAATTGCATAACACATTTTCTCTGGGGGTTTTCACACAACTCTCCCCCCTCCCATACTTTTGTAACTCAACCTCCCTCCTCCCCATGAAGTATATGGCGCAATATCAAAACTCATTGTCTGTAGCAGTTTGCTTGTTGCCTCATTTGAATGCTACTTTCCCTTTTTCAAAATTAAAAGGTAAACTGATTGCCCTCAATGAGAATTTAGAAGCCCTTTTCAACCGCACCCTTGGTTTTATTGTAAAATATCATTGTTACAACCTCATTTCCAAATCAATCAAAAGTATGTATGTCACGATATTTACATTTATGGTATATCTTTACCTCGCAGGTGGCATCGTATATTCCACAACTGGCAAGAATGAATCCAGATTACTGGGGCATAAGTGTTTGCACAATCGACGGTCAGCGTTTTTCAATAGGAGATGTTAATGTCCCTTTTACCATTCAGTCTTGCAGGTAAGGTTCCTCTCATTTCCTTTCCATGAACTTCGCAGGTTGATTTTATATCCGCTTGTTAATATATCCTCCTATGTCAATGTAGCTCCTCAGAAACAAATTGATGGAACCGTTGATTCCAAAATCTCAAAGCAACTCACTAAGAAAACAAAGGAACAAAGGGTATTCTTGCTAAGTAAAGGTTTATAGGTCCCATAACTAGAAAGGCTAATTACAGAGGGTTGCAACAGTCCATTCACAGAAAATTTTCAAAATTTTAAATGAGCAGCATGTAATTAAAGTCCATTTACAGAAAGCAGTCTACATAGGCAAATCTTTTAGAGCAGAACATTCAAAAAATGTAACAGGGAGGAAAATTTATTTGAGCTAGGCTGTTGGATTCAACACTAAAGTTGTTGATGCCTCTGTAACAGTGCTCATCATTTGCGTTTTGTAACTTGCTGGCAGAGTGCTTTTTTTTATCAGGTTATGGGAGGCTCATAAGTAGACATAAACAAATTTAGACTATAAAAAACACCCGGAATTTTAATATTTATTGTACTTGATGCAGTGAAACACTTTCCCTCCCTGTTTTAGTAAACCTTTGAACTATGGAATCGCTTTGGAAAAACTGGGACAAGATATTGTGCATCAGTATGTAGGCCAAGAACCAAGTGGCTGTAACTTCAATGAGTTAGTGCTGGATCATAATAGTAAGTCTGATTTTAATACCATGACCCATGTAAGTTTTTTATTATTTTTCAATTTTACATGAGTTGATTAGGGCTTCTCCATTAAGAGACTGGCAGTGACGTCATTTCCAGTGTGTATCCACAAAGATATTGATTTTGTTTGACTCCGTAGTATTTATATTCATAATCATAAAATTAAAAATCATTTAGATTTATCTATGAGAATGTGAGAAATGAATTACAGAGAAAGAAATTGCCAAAAAAATCTCACAATTCTATGTTCTTAGACTTTCACATAGGTAGCGCTCTGTGCAGGGTCATTTATCCAGACTTACTTCCAGTAGCAAAGTTTGCCCAATTTTGTGCGTCAATTTTCCAATTACATGGAGAAGTAAGCCTGGAAAAACCAGTATGAAAGTGATCAGTCAGTCTTAATCAGAAACGTCATCCACAAAATGAACTCTTAAAAATGATTCAAAATTCATAGAATATTACTTTCTTGAGAATCTCATTGAAACCATATTTATTTAGAACCACAAGTCACTGCTTATGTAGTACATTTTCATTGCTATACATTCATCGTAAGTGTCTCCTTTATTGTGTTTCAGAAAAACCACATAATCCAATGATAAATGCTGGTGCCATTTTAGTATGTGCATTATTGAAAACTTTGGTGAAGCCTGAGATGAGTCTTGCCGAAAAATTTGACTATGTGATGAATTATTTCAAGGTATTGCTTGGTTTTCTCCCTAAATTCTGAATTATTTTATATTTTCCCAATGAAGTCCTCATAAAATTAGCCACATGCACTACTATTTAGTCATCCCGGATGAATTTGCTCTTTCTCACTATATCAATATCAGTCGGAGACAGCTGAGAAAGAATATAAGTAACATATGAATTGAGTACGGTTTTAAAGAAGTACGGCAACATAATTTGTTGCCAAGCATAGCTTTATTTCATTAATGATCAACATTGCCTAGGACTGAGCGATGTAACATTCATTATTGGAAAATCTTCTTTTTAGTTAAATATCATCGGAAAATCAATGTTTTTGTCCACCGATGAAGGGACCATATGGCAAAAAGAATAAAAATGGATAATGGTGACTCAGCCAAAAGAAGTATTTCATGACATCTGTGCACTGAAAATTCTCTCAAATGGGAAACCAAATGGAATTTATGATGTTAAAAATGTGCAGTTTAAAACGCTTTGTTTTAAAGAAATGTTCTCAAAATTTGTAATCCACCATGTCTAGGGTACAAATTAAATCGCAAATCTAAGCTCTTTATCGCCACATAAATAAAGTGCATCCTTGATGGGTTTTTTTGAGATGATACAGAACATTTTCCATTAAAAACACTAACTCCAACTTTTTGACCCAACATAACATAACATAACATTATGCTGATAAATTTCCTGTGAGGCACTACTGTCCCTTTTCTCATGGAGGGTCGATTTTTTTTTTACTACTACTTCAAATGGCCCACAAGGGCTAATCCTGCGCTTTAGTCCCAACCTTCCTCCGTCCCTTCTAAATAACCAGTCCCAAACATCCATTGTTTGAGACCATCAAACTCAGGTCGCTTGACCAGGAATCGAACCCAGGACCTCCCGATCACAGAGCTAGTGCTACAACCACTACACCATAGGAGGCCAACAAGGTTTTAGTTTTATTCATTTTCCTATTTTTTTTTAACAATCTCTGCAATGGGTTATCATGACTTTTACTTTATTTTTAAGTCTCTATCTTGGAGCTTGTCTTTGGTTCATCAATGATTAATATCACATGAGAGGAACGTATATCAGTTGCATGTAATGTCTCTAAAAATGTACTGTTTTAATTACAACTATCATTGTCTTTAAATTATTGTCAACTTGAAATTTTTCAAACAAGACCAATCCACGCAGGATAGTGATTGCGAATTTTTTCCACATCTAATAACTGCGCAGCCTTCACTCGGCCGCAGCTAGTGTGATGTCACATTGGCTGCCCCTTATAAGGAATGCATCGCATTTAAATTTCCTGCCGTAATGCGCGAAGAGTCTCAAAACTGGTCCACAGGAATTACTGACCTGTGTGGATTGGTCTTGCTTTTAAAAAGCTCCTTTTCTTTTTTTAAAATTATTTTACTTTACTGCTACTTTTATTGTCTCTTTATTATTAATTTTGCCCTCAGAGAATTGCGGGTGGGGAATACCTTGGATTCAACAATGCAGTGTTTTTGTCGGAGAGGGAAGCAGCTGATCGGAACTATGCGCTTGGTTTCTATATGCGTGAACATAAGTGTTATCCCGAGAAAACAAATTTAAAAGAATGCATGGATTTCTACTTTCAGGTGAATAACATTTTATCTTCCCCATTCCCTCTTTCTTAAGTTGGTTACTTAGGAAAGATGTTCGTAACAATCAGAGTTCTTATCAAGTCAAAGATACAATATTTAAAGCTCGTTTTTTACCCATCAATGAAAAACCTGTAATTGCAGTAAACCTGCAAACCTGTAATTGATCACCACCCTTAGCTACTGTGAGGTTCAAGATTTCGTGCTGTGGCGAAAATCATCACAGAGAAGATGCAAACCAAATTTGAACCTCCAATATATCGGCCATAAAAATGCATCTCATATGAGGGAGCTTATGATAATGGTTCAGTTTTGCTGGCCACAGAATCGTGTTTTAATGCTTGATTCTTGTAGATTAGCAAAAAATAATAAGATCTTTCCAAACTGCAATTTTCCACGTTCAATATTAACCGTGATATCGCCCTTTGAAAAGTGAGGTTTTTGATGTCAGCGACACCCTTGGTTTCTTCCTCTTTTGTTTGATCAGTGATGTAGAGGGTGCACAGCGAAAATTCAACGACGTTAAACATGAACAAACTCAATATACCGATAGATTCGCTTTAAAAAGATCCTCTTATCAGGAAGTAACGCATACTCACCGCAAAGAGATTAGGCGGTCAGTCAGTTCACCTCAATTTGTTTATGTTTAATGTCGTTGAAGTTTTGCGTTGCGCCATGTTGCGTCCTCTATATCACTGATGGAACAAAAGAGAAAGAATAAACCAAGGGTGTCACCACCGCGGTAGATGACGTCAAAAACCTGATTTTTCAAAGTGCGATATCTCTGTTAATATTGAACATAGAGAGTTGCTGTTGGGACAGATCTTATTATTTTTAGTTAATCTACAAGGATCAAGCATCAAAACACGATTTGTGACCAGCGCAACTGGTCCATTCCTTAATTGAAGTTGGGGGATTGAGCTTAAAGACCATCATGCAATAATTATTATTTATGAAGAAAAATTTTCATTAACTTCTATAAGAGTAAAGGTACAAAGTTTTCATTCAATCTTTTTTTGCTCCCAGTCTAACTCTGTTTGAATTTGACAGTGCTGTTCGATGGAAGTAACAGCGGAGAGTATGAGTGTAATGGCATCAACTTTGGCAAATGGCGGAATTTGTCCTCTCACAGAAGAGAAAGTCCTGAAACCAGACTCTGTTCGAGATGTACTCTCCCTGATGCACAGCTGTGGCATGTATGATTACTCTGGCCAGTTTGCTTTCAAAGTAAGATATGATTTGCATCCTCGGATATGGAGAACTACAAAATAATTCTTGCTAGGCTTCAATTTACTTCGGTTTACAATCTATAATAAGAGCATGATCAATTTTTTGGAAAAAATTCCGAGAAACTAATTGTGAGTTTTATTCTTTGAAGAAATTTGAGAATGAAAAATAATGGAGGTTTCCACAAGTCTGATCATCAAAGATTTGGCACCATGTCTGTAGGAAATCATAACTAATATCTTAAAACAAAAATAATCCCAAAAATTAGGAAAGATTCATGTATTAATCATTCATTTATTTATTGATTCAAGAGGAGTAGGTATTGAGTGAAATGCCCAATAACAAAAAATTTAATTATAAATTTAAAACATTAAAAACCATTTTTGATGCAATACGGCTACTAAAAACTAAAAGCAGAAACGAAGAAACAAAAAAAGAATTGAATGCATACATTTTTTTTATCTAAAGATCTCTTGCCCACCTATTTTTAAGTTTCAACTTTTAGTCAAGCAGCTGTATTACTATTGTATCATCCTACTTTAGGAAATTTTCTGAAACGAATATGGAATTTCATCTCATCCAGGTTGGCCTACCTGCAAAATCAGGTGTTTGCGGAGGAATGCTGGTGGTCATCCCAAACGTAATGGGCATATGTTCATGGTCTCCCCCTCTTGATCCGTTGGGTAACAGTTGCCGTGGAGTTCAATTTTGTCAGGTAGAGAATCAAGTTATTTTCATCATCGGTGCTTAAAAACAGGAAAGATGACCATAGTGTACAGCGGCACAATTCTCAGAAAAGCAAAGTTGTTAAGTCGTGTTGAAAAAGTTTGATTTAAATTTCCAGTGAAAAACATTTTTAAGTATTCCAAAGAATTAGTTGCGAGTGGTAATGTTCATTTTCGGACCAATAGAAGGTGCACAGATGCAATTCATGTAATTCTATCATTTTTAACCATGAGCGTAGCGGCACTTAAGTGGACCAAATTTTTTACCAAAATTAGTCAGCAAAATAACAGGAAGTCGAGCTTTAGGTTGCTTTTTGCAAAATTTAATTTCATGCTGTAACTTTCAAGTGAACAAAACATACTGGATATCTAAATTGTATCTGTTTAACACTGGGAATTTTAAAATTTTATTATCGACATTTTTATTCTTCATTTTTAGGAGCTAGTGCAACTGTTCAATTTTCACCCTTATGATAACCTAAAGCATGGTGTGCACAAAAAGGACCCACGAAAACACAAGTACGAGACTAAAGGACTAAAAGTTGTCCAACTTTTGTTTTCAGCTGCGAATGGGGACATTTCTGCACTGAGGAGGCAAGCATCACATTAATGGTTTTTCATTTTGAATTATTTTGGGACCAAAATTCATGAATATTTTTGAAATTCATGAGTCCATCGCATCCTACTTAAACCATCAATTCTGTAGTCAAATTAATTAAAAAAACGGAGGAACAATCATTTTCAAACTGTACTCATAGTCAATTGTCTGTAGGAGGCTGATGGCGGACACTGCATGACCCTACATTAGCAGCAAATTCACTATGTGTGTAAATTTTTATTAAAATTAAATCTGTTAAAGAGGTATTTTATCATTGATTGATGGTATAGATTCTTAAAATAAATTGCTTTTTGAAATTAGGAAGCTCTTTGCATCTATTTCTGTGTCACCGACAACAAAATCTGAGAATATGTTACATTCAAAAGCCTCTGAAGGAATCAATTAATACTTTGCTTGTGCAAATGAGTCACTCTCTTCTTCCGCTGAAAGTTCTCTAAGTGTTTTGAACGTTTTTTACAGACACAAACTTTCAGGGATGGATATGGGTCTGAGCGATTATGACGGCAGGACTGCCCTTCACTTGGCCGCTGCAGAAGGTCATCTTGACTGTATAAAATTCTTGTTAGAGCAATGTGGAGTTGATCATACCGTTCGTGATAGGTATGTATCATTTTCTTGACAAATCAATTACTCTAGTCACATAGCAGATTTTCATGATCACATATCCTTCACTTTTACATCATATTTATTGGCTGTTTATTTCTTTTTTTCCCATCTCATTCAACTCTTCAATTAGTACCATCAGAAGCCGATGAAATTCAACAATTATACAGTTTAAATTCAACGTTAGATTTTAATTAAAAATGTTTCAACTGCTGCAACGAAATTCATCGATTTTCTGTCATACATAAAAGACATTGTGTTCTTAAGTAATATTAGGTACCATTAGCTCTTACTGTAAATGATTCGAATTTTTTTAATTGAAGTACCTCACGAGAAGAAGATATCACTACTTTTAAAAAAGAGTGGAAGTCCACTTTTCAAAAAAAAAAAGAATTTATTGAATTTTTTCGAACTCCCCGGTTATCCTTACCGTATTACCTGAAAAAGTAGCTGTGGTCTGCTTCTTGGAATGCAAGTGACAGACATGCAAATGTCCACGCAAATGTTCAGTAAAAAGAGCGTCAAAATTTCCCAAAAAAACGAGTTTGAAAACTTTGACTTCTGCCTTTTTTGGAGCTACTGATTCAAATTAGATGTGTATAGCTTATTTATGAAGGATATAATAGATTCAGTCGGTGAAAATAATTAAATTCCAAGTGAAAGTGGAGTGACCCTTTTTCCTTTTTTGCTCTTCAAGTCGAACTAGGCTCCTTGACTCCGGGTACAATGATGGCTTCGGCAGATCGGTCCCGGAGGATGGGGGGACCCTCCCCCAAGTGGGGGGCCTGAGGGGCGCCGGCAGCACCGGGGCCGGGGTCGGGGACTGCTGTTCGAAGAGTACCTTCGGGACGTCCGACGGGAGGATAGAGCGTCCGATGGGCCACACTTGCACAGGGTGTGGCCTGGAGGGGTCGTTTAGTGGGTACAGAACACAGCGGCGTGCTCTACCCCCACATAACCGGGTTTTCCCATTTCTCAGCGGTCGGGTCGGTTAGGGGTCGCTTCAGAGGCTCTTCACCAACTGATGGCCGTTGCCGTCCTGGTATTTGTTGGGCCCCTTTCATGGGGGGCGTTTTGGCGACCCTCATGATGGGGGCACTGTAGCGAATTTTTCCCCTCATCTTCAAAAAAAAAAAAAAAGTCGAACTAGGCATTTGTTCTTTCACTTTAAGACTTGGTTTAGAAAGCTATTCGCCACTCCGATTGGTTTCTTGTGCTTCTGAATATTTTAGTCGCTCAGTATTCATGAATTATTGACTTTAGTAATATTCAATTGTAAGAATTAGCTTTTTGAATCATATTCTAATTATTAAACATATAATTTAGCTGAAAATATGTAGTACTTTTCTTACATTACCTAGTTCCTACATTAAATAATAATGGTGATATTGTTTCTTGAAAAACGCAGTAATTGTGACCACTGACAGGTGAAGCAAGACCAGGATTCATAAAACCATTTTTTTGACTTGTTTCAGGTGGGGGAAAACTCCCATTGAAGAGGCCAAACAGTTTCGACATGTCCAGGTCGTCCAGTATCTAAAACAATGGGCAGACGCAAATCCTCAGGAGGCTAATAAAACTGAAGATGAAAAATCCAGCCTACCAATTGAAAAAACCTCTCCATTGCCTAAATAAACCTTTCATTTGTTGAGCCTCCAAGTCAATAATCTGATGACATTGGTTTTTTACCTGGTGCAACTCTCATAGGTCAGATAGTAGTAATACGCAGACTCAAATATAAAATTGATGGTTGATGGTGTCGGCTCTAATATTTCCATTCACGTCAACATCCCTGTGTTGCTGAAATTGACCCTTGAAGCCTAGAGCGCCAGAAATGATGGTCATTTTATCACTGTAAAATTGCTTCCTCAGCATCGGATGATTTCATACTCGAAACTAGTGAGAAAGGAACATTTTATGAAGTTTCATAGAATGATATGAATTATTTTAGGATTAGCTACTCACTACTCACTACTACTTTGTTGATCCTCCTAGGAATCCTAAATGAGAATAATCCTCTTTAGAATGTGAAAAACTTTAAATTGTAGATCGGCGTCACTGCGTAGAGGAGTGTTTTACGTGAAGGACCCTGCAAACTGCAACTAGAAATATGTGCCCACGCCGATTCAATTTTTCTTTGCTGCATTAAAATCATCTATTGATCCTGATCAAAAGTCACAGTTGGGCCAAGTTTCTACAATTTTCTTACGCACAACTAAATTGCACATGAAGTAAAAAATATCAGGGAGAAATCCGAGGTTGTAAAATTACAGTAAAGAGTGAACATCTTGTAAAATGAGTCTTACTCCCTCTACATTCCTCCCATGCCTGCTGGCGGTATTTGTCAATTTTTTTATAGCTTTATTACCTCTTTTTCCCTTTCCGTTTTATGTTAATTGTTTGTTAGATAGTAATGAGTCTGGTGATTGACAATAATATGTCTTAAATGTTATTCACTGATTTTTTGTAGTCATAATTTTAAGGAATGCCTTTATTTCACTTACCAGAGCAAATACCTAATATTCATTGTTAGTGATTCTAGTCTTTACGTCCTTCCTCATCACTTATGATAAAATGCGGGTGTCCTTTTTTTTGGTGTTTTCATCCTAACACGTAAGTAAGTTTTCTTCCATTGTTTTTGAGAATTTAGGCTGAAAAAGCTACAAATTTTTAGGCTTTATTTAAGTATCTTATACTTTTTTGATCCATCAATGCGTTTCCATTGATTTTTTTCTCCTTATTTTGGAGGTAATACTTAGCTAGTCACACAGAATTTCCATCCCAATGGGCCAAAAGGGATTTATCTTCCTTTTTTCCAATTTAATTATCTTTTAGTGTCAATTTCAATTATTTTGCTCTTAGAATTGCTCTTGTCATTATTGCATTGTGAAAAGATTGTTTTCGACTTCCGCAATTAGTAAGGTATGAAGCTTGAAGTTAAAGGAAATGAAGGCGGCTTCATTGAAAGAATTGTCTGATTTTTCTTCAACTGAGACTTTTGTTGTTGTCTGAACTCAGGAAGCTGTATCTAATAATCCATATTTTTTAAAAGTCTGACTTTTACATGCAGTTTCAAATAGACTTTTCTTTACCTATGTGTATCGCCTCAGATCAATGGGTGTCAAAATGAAAAAAAGAGGTCAATGACACATCTATCTGAAATATCAGTGGTTATATTTTTGGGGCACCCTTACTCAATCAATAGCCAATTTATAGGTTTTTTATGTAACCTTACTATCCATGGTTTGTGTCACAAGGGCTTGCGCGATTTTCCGATTTCATGTTGTTCCCTTTTCAGAATCTCAAGAAAGTAACTGAACCTTTTCAACCATGTCATCTTCAACGTGCAAGATGTTGGATAGAAGTGATGTGTCTCTTTTGTGCAATATTAAGATCTATGTTAACCAAATTCTTTAAATATGAATTGTTTTGTTTGTAATTTAATTGTGGGTTGATTTCTTTACCTCTATATGAATTAGAACACCCGCCTTAAGGGACGGAAAGTTTTAAAAGCATAATTAATCGTATTCCTTCTGAAAAAATGAGAACAGTGCTTTTCAAAAAGCTGTTAAATTACTGCTAGTACACGTTATTTACTTCTGAAAGTAATGAAATCGTAAATGATGATTTTCGTTTCATTAAAAAAAACACAAATTAGCAAAATAATGTAGAAAATTCCTTTTTTTTCTCTCTTCTCCAAAAACCACAAGTTTTAAACAACTATTGGTGCAAAATTGACCGATGTTCAAAAGTGCTTTTGTAATATAGCCACGAACCACTTTTTCTTGTACGAAAAAAAATCTCAAGAGATAGTAAACAGGTGATCAAAATGCTTTCTCAAAAGACTCTACAAGAACTACTTGTAGTTTTGGTAAGAATTCTGGAAAAATTCACTATTTCGAGAGAAAGTCCTTCCTTATTTTTCACAGACAAAACTGAAGAATGGCAAACTGATGTTGAATAAAAAAAAACATTTTCAGCTGGTGTATGAGAACCAATTGAATCGGCTTATGCGAAAACCGCTAATGTCCATTTTCTCTAATTTTGAGAGAACTGCAAAAAACTGTAGAAGCCTTTTAAATTCAGGATTTAAAAATGTTCAGAAGTTCATTATTACAGGAGTGGATTGTAGAAATGGATCCCTAACACTTTCCAGCTCCTCTTCTGTCTGGGACGGGGTATAATTAAACAGAAAGATCTCTGGATATTAGCGGTTTTTGCATGATACCCAAAAATCATCGCGTTTTGGAGCCGTTTGATATTTTCAAAATGTATTCTAAAGATATTAAAGCGGTAGATTATCATTCATATAAAGTTGAAAAAACAAAATTCTGGACAACTGCTGCACTTGAAATAAGTTTCATCACGAAACTACCAGCAATAAACTGGACATTAGCGGTTTTCGCATGATTTGTGCGCGGACGGTTCTTAAACATCAACAACGCATATGTTTAAGTATGCATGATTCGGACCCCCCCCCCCCCTGAAAAGGAGTTCAAACTTATGGAAAAAACATTTTCACCACATTACTGAGTGTGTCTGACCTCCGAGAGTATTTTAACCCAAAAATCTCAAGATTGAAAAAAATGGACATCAGCGGTTTTCACACGAGCCGATTCAATTGGAAGTATGAGCAAATTTCTTCTAACTCTGGCTACAAGTCGCTCATTTTCCAAAAAAAAAAAAAAAAAAGGTAATCAAGAATGGTAGACGGATGACTGAAATAGAACTACTTGTGAAAACGAGCCATTTTCTGAGGAGCTATTAACTTATAATCAAGAGTTATTCCTTTTTTAAGTATTTCAAGAATGGTGAACAGATTATAAAAAACCCATTTCTTTGTTTTTTCTAAAAGCAAATTTAAGAGAAATACTTGAGAGCGCTTAAAAATGTCTAAGGACAAATCAATTTCAGAGTCAGAGTCATTCAGTTACAAGCAAAACTATCCAAGAATGGTAAAGTGATGACCAAAGATCATTTTTAAAGCAAAATTGAAGAAACTACTTTCAACGAGAGAAATTTTGAGGAGATGATGATTTTAAAATGAGGAAACACGAAATTACTGTTTGTAACATATTATTAAAAAACTTCAAGGTTTCAAAACTTCAACAAAACAAAAAAGAAGAAAAAAAGAACATTTTCATCACATCAAAGGTGACTTTGGGAGTTTAGGCCCCACTAGTAGTGTTTTCCCAGGGATGAGAGCTGGCCCCAGCACCACCAAAAACCCCGAGCGACAGCAACACCACCGTACTCTGACTGCTCCCAACGATCATCTTCCATACCTCTTCATAGATCATTAGGAAAGCTCATATTTGCTGTCCCATGACAATAAATTGCCCTCCACAGGAAACACCATTTTCTGATGCAAACCACAAGAATTTTGGTAAAATTTTAAGCGTCAATTTTGTGTTAATTTTTGTGTATAATCCTCCCCGCTGCTTGCTTATTTGATGTTTCCACTGCTTGATATGAGGGACGCAATGAGTCACTCAATTCTGTCAGGTTGACATCCTCCTGCCCCGCTGGTCTGGTTGATCCAGGGCTGCCAAAATTTGTGAGCGTCTCAAGAGAAGTGGTCATGGAAAAAGTGCTTCATATCTCACTGTAATATAGGTAGATGAAAGTGTCCGAGATTCAATCTTTGGCGACAAAAACCTTTAAAGATAGTTAGAATAATCTGGAAACCACATCTCGGTTCTGTTTACTTTAGTATCAGCTGATTCCATCTGTCTTAGAATCTTCGCTTGTAACTCGAGTGGCTGATTCTTGTGAACGGAAGCATACAGGACATTCATACTTCATGTCAATCATCCTGTTCGACTGAAAAATACAAGAGGAAGTAGTATGAAAACGAAAAATATTTGGATGCATCAAGAAATTGAACTTGTTTCTTATTTAATAAATTCTGTGGAAGACAGTTGTATTCAAAAACAGTTTCACATTACCACTAAAGGTGATATGACATGACAAGTTCCCTCATCAAACCTTAACGCAAAACAAGTTGAGCGCACTGAAAAAAGCCTTGCCAGTTGAGACCTGCCTTCAGGCCCTCAAAACTAAGGTTCAAGCCAATCTAACTAATTCCTTTCTGTGACCAATTGTTCCAATAAAAATGTCTGCTTGAGTTAAAGAACCAGTTTAAAGCAATTCAATGCGTAAGCATGATTGCTTCTTCCCATCAATTCAGCACACTATGGTCTGTGGTTCAACCATTTGGTCGAATCTGAACTACCGCATTTTATGGCATACTTCAAAACTGTTTCCTGACTGTTCAAAACAGAGACCCACGGGGGTCTCTGCAGAAATAGCTGATTAAATGAGAGAAGTTTTTTTCTGGAGAGCAGATTCTAGACTCATGCAATGAGCTTGTTAACCTGTTTCTAATTCTTGCATTTTCAGAAACTGCATTGTCTCCTGATCACGCAGTAATTTTTTCAGATTTTTTCGAGCCGTTTTTCCCTCCGAAATCGACTTTTGAAGTTCGAAATTTTAAAATGCCGCGTTTGCCCGCGCTTTAGCGGCAATTCAATATGGCGCCGGAATTACCCCCTAGCTTTCTTGCCACACATTCGACCGGGCGCCGTCAGCGGGACCTCTACGCGTTCGAATATCGAGGCTAATCAAAACCAAATCAAAACAACCAACTGGCTGTTATCAATTTCATCTTTTGACAAAGATTTCTCTAGTTTTTGGCATATTTTCTGAACTGTTATTCGTTCAACTAAAATATCTAACCCTGCTTTACGAATATCTCGACCTGCAATCTCCTTGGAACGTTGGAAAATCCGAAAATATTGACCAAATTTGTGCTAGTTTACTTAGTCATTTCAGTACACTGAGATGAGATACTGAGTTTCCATGGTAGTGAAGTGAATTTGGGAATAATTCTTCTTGAAAATGTTGAGTGCATATGTTTTTGCAATAGTTTTTGCTTCAACTTCAGAAACAACAACAGATCGACCGGTCAAATCCTGACACTGTTACTGACCATGTCGAAGCTTCATGATGCGAAGCCTTGTGCTTTGTTTCGGGAAGTAAATATTTTGGAGAAAACTTCCTACGTCTCATTTACAGCAATCTAAATAGAATCAGTAATCGAATGTCCTTCCCTCAATGGCTCTCTTTAAAGAAATATCCACAATATATTACATGTAGGTATCACTTGTTTACTCTTAGGAAGCCACCCAAGAATAAATAGCCTTCGACAATTTTCTATTCTGGGACCGTAAACTTATTAAACTGTTCGGTGTTCCATAATTATTACAGGTATATTGTGAATTGCTAGTGTGTGCCATTCTTTGATAGTTTGTCTCAATGCGAGATATAACATCCGTGATTTAATCTCAATTTCTCATCCACTCATTTTCTACGTAATCACATCCTCCACATGACTTTGATTCACTTTGAACCTGATTTTTTTTTGGTAAATAATGGCTCACTGTGCTGAGCGTTTTACCAGAAAGTCAGCTTTAAGTTACATTCTTCGACATGGAACTACATACAAATTTTGTGAAGATGCATGCCCTGACTCTGAATAAATGGATGTTATTAAAAATCCTGAAGATGAAAGGTGAGTAGCTAACTACTTTGTAAGTTCCCTTCTCAATTTCGATTACCTAAGTGTATGGTTTCTAATAGCGGATAGTAAGAGTCGTCCAGAAAGTAAGTTTACCTGTTAAATACTTCCTAAACGAAGATAGGTAGAGACAATCTGTAATAAGCTTTGAAAAGTCACTACCCTGGTTCTCTAATACGCTGTAGATTTTTAAATTTGGCTTGATAGAACTCTAGAAAAGTGGGATTTTCTGAACCCACCTCCTCTCCGCACGGGTTCAAAATTAGTGATAGACACAGTGGCTCATTTGCGAATGAGGCTCTGTAAAATTTTGGACCTGTGCAGAGAGGAGGTGAATTCAGAAAAAGCCACTTTTCTAGAGTTCTATCAAGCCAAATTTAAAAATCTATGGCGCGTTAGAGAACCCAGAGTGGTGGCTTTTCTAAAGTTTATTACAGATTTTCTCGAAGTACCTATCTCAGTTTAGGAGATATTGAACAGGTAAACTCATCTCTGGACAATACTCGTAGTTGTTCTTCCCTCTTTCTTGCAAATTATTTATTGAAATGAAATACATAAGGCTCTTTATCATTGAAATATCACTATGGAAGAGCAACTGAGTTTAAAGACTGAGACAAAAAAAGATAATGGTGACAGTAAAATGAGGTGAGAAAATCTACCAACTGGAGGCATCCACTTCAAAATATTGCTATCACATGAATTTGTTGGCTGGAGACTAGCGCATCCATCCGCGCATAATTGATTTTAAGGGTTTCCATGGGTGTACTGAAGGAAAATCTAGACAAATTTTCTCCGACTTATAATTTGATCAGTACCTAGACATTTCTGCTGTGAAATGGAGACCTCAGGTTTCCATGTCAATCCAGTGATAAGAGAATACCTTGGTGTGCCTTCGAAATAACACTTGCTACATTTTTTGTGATTTTCAATTACTGGATATTACCTACATTCATTGCACACCGCAAACATTTTTTATGAGAAAACTACATATGTTCCAAAGAATTTAAAACAAGTCATGTGCACGTTGGAGCAAATTTACTTCTGTTCTAGTTTGAACATTATTGGTACGTACCTTTCAATTTCAGGATTTACCGGCTTTTGCCGAAGGGTCTGTTGGTGCCGGCACACACAGTTCCAGGGTAGAGTGGAGATCCATGTCGAAGAAAATTCCTTTGAACTGATTTTTTAGTAAATAAATGCTCAGATAACTGAAGCATAATTTACTACACTATCAGACTTCAAAGGGAGTTGGTCATGAGGAAGTATTCACAACAGCAAAGGAAAGAATATGTGGATATACAAGTAGAAGTACTTAATGAGCAAATATACAGATTACTGACTTTAACACTTGCAAGAAAGGAGGAAAAATCTAAGAGTAAGTGCTTGGTATCAGATGTTCTAGCAGCATAAAGCCCGTCCAATGTGAAGATTGTTTGATTACCCAATCGTTGCAAGTGCAAGAATCTATGTATGACCGCAGAAAATGTATCATTAGAAGAACACTTATAAGTATATTTTGACTAACACAAACACTGTAAAAATCGTGTGCAATGTTAACCCCAACACCGAAAACACGGTGATTTCAACTGAAAAACCAAGCCTTTAGATACTTAAGTGATAGGAACACACACATATAACAAACACAGTTTTGGAAGCTATTTCCGGATTTCCCAACGTTTCAAGGAGATTGCAGGTCGAGATATTCGTAAAGCAGGGTTAGATATTTTAGTTGAACGAATAACAGTTCAGAAAATATGCCAAAAACTAGAGAAATCTTTGTCAAAAGATGAAATTGATAACAGCCAGTTGGTTGTTTTGATTTGGTTTTGATTAGCCTCGATATTCGAACGCGTAGAGGTCCCGCTGACGGCGCCCGGTCGAATGTGTGGCAAGAAAGCTAGGGGGTAATTCCGGCGCCATATTGAATTGCCGCTAAAGCGCGGGCAAACGCGGCATTTTAAAATTTCGAACTTCAAAAGTCGATTTCGGAGGGAAAAACGGCTCGAAAAAATCTGAAAAAATTACTGCGTGATCAGGAGACAATGCAGTTTCTGAAAATGCAAGAATTAGAAACAGGTTAACAAGCTCATTGTTGTTGCATGCAATGTTGGACAAACTCGAACAACTCAAACTTTTGTTTGTTTTTCAAGTTGGCCCATACATAGCCCTAAAGCATTTTCTTGACATTCATTCGTGGGATACTAAGCGGTCCCTGAGGTAAAGCAATAAACATGCCTTAAACCCACTTAAATAGCATCATATAACTAAATAAATGGGCCAATCATAGTACGGATGGATCTCCTTGACATGGTACTTAATTGTCAATAAGCTCTTAATAGAAAGAAAAGGACGTTTTCTTGGATAAAAACTTACCTCTAAACAATAGTAACAAAATATGTGAGAACAATTGATATGAACTGGCAAAATAGGAGTTTCGTTGCAAAATGCACATTTCGACCTGGTGGAGAAAGATGCAGATTCTCTGGTACTTGTCGAGGGTTTTGAGATCACTTGAAGAAGTTTCTTTCTGAAGTACTGATAATTTATTAGAGGCAATGCAAATCCAAGCATTTCCTGTCAAGAAGGTAGGAAAAATATAAATTTATTAAAACATTCTGAACTATTTGAACTCATATTCATACTTATTAGGAGTTATTGAAGTATTGTTCACACTGAGATTGACGACTCAATTGAAAAAAAGTTCTGACACCAATAAATTAGATGGCCAACTTTGATAATGCAACAGCTAAACAATTTTGATTCTTGCATTTAGTTTCAATGTGAATATGAGTACTATTTTTCTTGTCCAACTCTTGAAACGGATAACATTAGCACTACCTCTAAAAAGCACCGCAGAGACATGCGCAAGGGCAAAATTCTGCGGATAAATTCTTGCCTTGAGTCAGTATGCACTGAATTCTACAAATATCTCTTCAATGAGCATTACTCGTGGAGAGGACATAAGTCATTCTATGCCGAATCACCAAAAAAAAAAAAAAAATAATAATTGAATAAAGTTGCTCTCCACCAACCCCAAGTATTTTTTTCATTTTTTTCATTTCTCTATCTATTGGAAAGAGGCTCTTAAGCCATTGTTCCAAACTTTTGAGATTTCTCTTTCTCCTACAGTGGCCTTCTTAGGGTTGTGTTTTTAGCTGATTTTTGACAAAATTCACAGTTGAGGAAATGAGCTTACCCCTGAGTTTATGTTACTTACAGATCTAAAACAAAACTAAGATACTAATTTGTTTTGTGCTTTATCTTTTTCAAAGCACTTACTGTATTATCTTGAATGACATCAACCCAAGCATTCAGTCTCATCCCTCTATGCAGAATTAGGCTGAATATGGAGGTAAACTATTTAATAGAGCTCCTCCATCTCAACTTTAAAAGCTTTTTTTTAAGCTAAGAAGTTGATTTTAGACAAAACCCAGACGCATCATGAACTCGCTCCCAAAATTGGACACAGGAATAGAGAGTTGAATCAAAGATCCATCAAACATGCCCTACCTTTGTATCAAAGGCTAACCCCTCCTCCAAAAAGTGGTACAGGCAAATCCGTGTCAGGGGGCTGTAGGCTAGCTCCATTTTTTAAAGACTTGTGAACTCCGGCAGTCTTGCTGATATTACCTAGAATCACCAGCCTTCCTGGCAGTCTCAACCAGTTGAAAAAGAACAATACAACAATCTTCTTTTCCACTTAAAAATCCAAGTCACATGGTATATTTTATCTTGAATAAGAACCAACAAACAAATGTTATTTGTTGATTCTTACTATATATAAGAGGGACCACAAAATGTGGGACAACAAGGGTCACCTTATTTAATGGCTGATAAAAAGTCAACTGAACTTACAATGAAACCATGCCACAGTAGTTCTCTGGTCATGTAATTGTATCCTATCATTCGAGGACTGCGCGCAACAGAGACGATTTTGAGACCAAGTAATCGGTTGGTCAGTGTGGGATAGTCTCCATTTCGCAGGAACACTAGAAAATTGGTCAATCTGAGAACATCCATAGTGACGTCCACCCAATGTACAAATTGTTTGACCTGGAAAGAAAAATCACTTTTAAAAATATTCATGTATATATTCAATATTCATAGATCATGTACATTGGTAGAAAAGTCCTTCTAGAATCTTTTAAGCTTGATGTTAATTTTTTCTTTTTTTCTTTTTTTTTTAAATAGAATAAGGAAAAAAAAAGCTCCATGTGTCAACAATCGGTGTAAAGGACCAATCAATCCTTTAATTTTGTAATTTTTGCAGGCCTGCAACTATTCTTTTTGCTCTGACTGCTGTCCTCTTTAAAATCATCACTCTCACATCATGTTTCATTTACGTCAATGATTTTTTAAAAGGGCAGTTTACTCACGTGAGGAAAATGGTTTGATATTCGCTCTATCTTTAACCTCCAGAAGTCATTGAGCATTTGAAGAATTAAGAGGGCATATCCTTTGTGGGTCGAGAATGTTCCCTGCGAGTACTTTAGACTTAGCATCTGTTGGCCGAATGTGCTCTGAGACTGCAAGACAGACATCTGAAATCAGATGGAAAATCAATTAAAGCAAGAGAATTACACACAAGATGTTGTGAGTTTAAATGACAAATTATGAATATAATATAAATTAGTTAATTCTTCAAGTCAAAATGAGACATTTGGGTGGTATAATATTTTCCCCTAAAAAAGCATCCTTTCAGAGCTGTGAGTCCCCAAATCCCTGAGATATTAATTACTTGACTTCCAATTCTAACACCCATTTTGCTTCAAATGGAACAATATGAGGTTAATCCGTGTATTTATCAACACGCTTTCCAAACTTAGGATAAAATTAGGATTCCAACACCTAAAGGAGGTATTAGAGGTATTCTTCAATGTTTTTGAGGATTTAACCAAAAGTCATGATTACTTTACTTACTGCCCCCCCCCCCAAAAAAAAAACTCAAACATCAATCTTTCCATGCGATTAATCAGTTTTAAAATATGTAATTGCCTCCAAAATTGAAAAAATTTTGCCAAACCAGCATCATTGTTTTTGGGGGTAGTTTTTCTAGCAACTGGTGAGCTTATAAGAAAAGAGATGAGGAAAATAAAATAATTTTGCACGATCTATCAAATAATGAAAATGATACTAATGTATTTAATTATTTTACTTTGCCCTCCAGTTAGAGCCCCCTAAAATAATGAGTTGAAATCAAGAAAAAAACCATAAACGCCTTTTGGAAGTGTTGGGATCCTAATCTTGAGACCAGAACTGAGAGATACAGTGAAGCAACTGAATTTGCTCCCTTGTGGTGAAAAATTATGGGCAGAATACGACATATATTAATTGATTTTCAATGAGTCTTGGGGACATAACTCTAAAGGCAGCTATTTTTGGAAGAAAGTTAGGTAAGTATACCCTATACCACCACCCAAAAAAAAAAAACATGTTTGTGAATTCTTTCCAGTGCTCATGCTATTCTGTCACTGAAAACTTTAATTCATTTAACTTTGAAAGCTGTTAGTTTAGAAAAGAGCGTGTTATCTGGTATAAATTTTAAGGGAGGAGTCATTCATACATGATGCCACAAAAAAAAAAGCAAAAAAACTGATAATGTGAAAAATCACCATGGAAAAGTTTTTCAATTCTTCAGGCACATTGCTAAAGTGAGGAGTCCTTGAGAGTCAAGAAAAAAATTGGCTTTGAAAAATTGTTGAATCCATCGCTCACCTTCCATATAATTAGATTTAAGATGATATTGGTTTTTGTTTCCAGCCGGTCAACAATCCATGGCTGAAAATAAGCAGAGAGGGGGTTGCTTCAATATAAGATCAAGCTAATGGGCAGCTGAAACAATTCTTTGCCAAGGCAAAATGTAAATCATATTCCTTTGACTGTGCTGTTGAAAAATATCTCCGATGAGCTTGAAAAAATATTTACCAGACTTGATTACTATGCACTGACAGAGGTTATGCAAAAAAACGATTTTTGGGCTCACAATCGGCGAAAAGTAATCCAAACAACCGAATATGGTGCTTAGAAATTACCATGGTTCTAATCATTCTTAGTTTTAGATATGGATGCATAAACCCTTGAGAAGTGTCTTCCCAAAAAATGAAACACTTGAATATTCTGATTGAAAATACAGGATGTCATCTGTTATCATCATTAAATTTGAGGGAAAATTTTTGGGGCTAAAATACAACTTTTATATCATCAGGATATGCTGCAATTGTGGAAATTTCTAAGTCAAAGACCCACATAAGGCCTAATTTCAAAGCTAAAGGAAAAGATTCAATTTAAAGTCCTCGGCAAATCGCAATTGATGGGCTTCACAGTTTGCTTCAAAAAAAGAGGCATGTGGTACTTTTTGTATATTAACCAACTATTTCTGTTTTCCTCTACAAGGATAAAAAAGAGGCAGAAATCCTGCCATCATTTTTCGATTTAGATGTATTAATGAATCAGAATATACATGTTATAGTAAATAGATGAGAAGAAGAAAATAATCAAGAAGAGACTTTGAGATGTTTTTCCTTAGCTGACAATATGCTTGCATCTGATGTGTATCTTTGAGTGTGATGAAGTTAATAAAAATAAACTAAAATGCTCACTGGAAAGTACTTTAGAGCTGCTTGAACTTGAGACTTCAGGATATTCAATAACTCTTCATCCAACAAAAATGCATCCCACTGAAACAAAATTTACTATGTCAGTGTTTGCCAAGTGCTTTAATCGGAAAAGAACAGAGCAGGACTGAATCAAAACGTGAAAAATATTCTATTTTCCAACAAAAAAAAGGTAAGTAAATACATCTATGTGGAGTAGTTACTTGTTTCTTCTCTTGCCCGATTTTTCTGAGTTCTTTCGCACATTTTTAAAGTGTAAAGCTGTGATTTTCGTCCAGTGAGTGGAGAGTCCCGGGAAGCTTCTTCAAAGGATAAAGCTCCACTTGGACACTTTTTCGAGGAAAATGCACCTTGATCTCTGTCCAAAATCATCAGAGTGCATAAATCAAGGCTTAAGGATTTTCCCCTTGTCCAGATTTTTCATTACCCCGCTTAGGCGTCTGCTGTCTTGGGCTCAGTCAGCATCTCTTGTGTCGAGTATGAGGAGGGAAGAGAATGTAGGGTCCTAGGATTGGACACCATAATTAAGATATAAAGTTTCTTAAATTGCTCATGACTTACAGAGGCGAACACAAGATAGGTACATTAGGAGAAAATAAACTACGAAATAATTAAGAATACAAACCACACCATGAACAGTCCAGACCTAAGTACACTAAACTGCGATTAATATGACTAAACTTGAGGAGTCAACAGGTTTGACAAGATTACTGAAAACATCATAATTGTGGGGCGTCTTGTCCAAAGTCAACTGAATACATACGCCTTGTAGATTGTTGTTAACATTCCAATAATAATAATGAAAAAAAAAATAAAATTTTGGTATCGCATAGTCAGCAATCAACTTTGATAATGTTTTTGGCTTGTGTAGTATTCTGGGAGAAGTAGCAGGTGGGCGGGTAAGCCACTGCTTGCCGCGCAATTCGAACTTACGGGCGCTGCATACAGTGAGTCAACGCATTCGCTTCAAAGGGCTCTTCGAGGCAACTATCAGACGATTACCATGGGCACTTACTACTCAGTAGCTTATGCTAGTACAAAAAGCCATAAATAGTAATTTGAGCTTATGCTAGTGCGAAAAGTCATAAATAGGAACTTGAGTGGGTGGTCTCGTACTGTTACTGGGAGTCATATGGAGCGTACAGGTCCAAGATATAGGTTCTCTTGAGACGGCAAAGGTCTTGGCTGTTGTCTAGAAGGTTTAGTGCTTCTTCGTTTGGATGATGATTAAGCCTGGCTATGAGTACATGGCCAAGACGTGCCAAGACGTGCAAGACGTAGGAAGAGACGTGTGAGGTGTTCTTGGACAGTCTTCATGTTTGCATTTGAATGAATGACATCTACATAACAATCGTTATGTTAACCGGTAATTTTTCGCAGGAATTTGTTCCGTGCAACTTGTAGAATTTTAAGAGAGGAGGGGGAGCAGTTCCCCAAATTTGGGAGCCATGGGCCCAGATAGGTCTGATAACAGTCTTGTTGCCTTCGACGATGACTGATCAAAAGCTATTGTTGATTATGGAGCAAGAGGATTATTTTATTGGTAAAAAAACAAATAGCAATGAAAATTCTTAAGGATACTTACAGAGGTAACTCTTGATGCTCTTTTTTCGATGAATTTGCTCATTTTCTGTGATTATTTCTATAAAAAAAAATAATAGAACGGCTGTTATCAGCTTATCAGTTAATCAGGGTTGGAGGTTAGGTGTGTTACAGTTGAGGGTGTTGGTCGGTGCAAAGTCTGAAAGTTTAACGGTGCGCTAATTACGGCTGCGGTTCGGCCATTTTGTTCTGTCACAGTCATAGGAGCCGTTTCAGCGTTAGCCCGCAAATTTTCTTGATATAAGTTTCATTTCCTGCTTTTAGTTTTATTTTTCAGTAGTTTTTAATAATTTTAATATTTAGCATGGAGGAAAAAGCTTCATTGAAGGAGCTTGATCAGTGGATAGAACAACTTAATGAGTGTAAACAGTTAACTGAAAGTCAAGTCAAAACATTGTGCGATAAGGTATGTAGCTTTATAATTCATTATTTATCATCTTCTATCAATTTTGAACTTTTCCAGCGAAGCCTAACTCTTTTGCATTAGACTAGCAAAGATTCATTCATCTGCCTCTATATTTTTGCCCTAAATTGTTGCCCTTTTTACGACTTCATGACAAGAAGTCTGCACTCTTGCCTCATCGCTTTGAACGTTCAGTGGCATCTGTTCGGATGGTTTGGTTTGTATCTAAGGGTACTCTTCCCAAGAACTATTCTCCCTATCATTCCTCTGGCTCTAATCAGTTCGTGTAGTACAGCAGGCCCCTTGTTGCGTCAATCCCATCGGGAAGTAGTGTGCTCCAATGTTAACCTCCAAACCGTTGTGATTGGAAGAATTGATTAGTTGGTGTGGTCATTACCATTTTTCTTTATCTTTATCAATTAGCTTGTCTTTCACATAACCCCATCTTTGAAGTTAATGCTTTTGCCCACTCAACCCTTTTAATCCATCACCATCTTCGGTAAGCTTTGCCTAATCCAAGTTAGCACCGCCCTGACCTGACTTCATCACAGGAAGGGTCAACTCAAAGTTTTTCCCTGAGCCAGATTGATAATGAAGGAAGTAGGAAGCTGTCCTCATGGGTAAATCCTTGGCTACAATATAATTTTTAAGCTTAATTTAAGATTAAGGATTACACCTGTTGTTTCATTTAATGAGGCTTATTTTGCTGTCATTTGTAACTCAAAAATTAATAGTCTACCATTGGTTTGTATCAACAAACTTGTATGTCCGAACTGAAATTCATGAAAAACAGAATAAAGGTAAAAAGTAAGATGATTTGACTTACAATCCACAAGGAGAGGTTTATTAGGTACAGTTTCTGTGTTGGATACCTACATACTTCTGCTGCTCAGGGGCGCCTTGGTTGCAATACACCCAATCACCGCTAAATGAATTTACCCACTCGCTGAGTGAGACATGAGATCTGCCATTTTAATTCCAGTGTTCATATTCATTCCTGAAGAGTATGCAATAAATCCTCTATTGCACTCTAAAAATTGAGGAGCCTATGCAGCTTAAACATAAAATACGAGGAAATGAGTACCTAAGAGGATGATAGCTTAACATGTCAATAACCAATGGAATGAAAAAAATTTAAGAAAGATATTTGAATGCATCAGGCTTTAATTCTAAGCATTTACCGCGTTGCTGATAAATGATTAAGAACCATATGACTCGTGTATCACGAATCACGATGAAGGAAAGGCGCCATGGTACATTGGTGCATTGAATTTAATTTAGCTATGTATGTAAATAGGAGTTAGAAGAGTTTCAATGTCATCAGAGATAAACTGATGTTAAAAAAAAGTGTGCCCCACAAGAGTCGGTCAAAGCCTTAATTAACACCAAGCTCATCTGGAACCTAAAACTTCAGTGAGTGATGCATACGTATTGTAAAAAGTGAATCGGCAGACATTCACCTATCAGAATCATTCATATTTAAGCTCAAAGCTCATAAAAAGCTAATTTAAACCATGGTGTTGAGGCTTTGCTTAAACTGGGAGTTTCTGGGGTTTGTCAGGGAGTAAAAATTATCGGGGGATATTAGGGAATTTACCAGGGAATTGATGCCAAAAACCGGGAATTTCTTCTCTCTGTGTTTTGAGATTAAATTTTCAATTGGGAATTTTGTTGACTCGGCTGCAAAGAATCAGGCTAGAGATGAAAAAATTTAATTTTTCATACTTTGGTGAAGAATCATGTTTTTCCATGAGAACCTAGAGGAAAATAAGCGGAAATCTGGAGTTTTCACAAGGGAATTATTCCGTAATTATCAAGACAAATCAGAGGATTATCGAGGAATGGGAAAAATGTAAATTCTAGATACCATGATTTAAACTCACTGAGCAGCTTTTCATGTCGTGTCCACTGCGCACAAATTAGCACTGCCCAAGTTGCATCAACCGAGATATCAAAATCAAGTACATAATAGAATTCTACCTCCCTCGCACTGTATATCATTCGTCATAAGGTCTCATGTATTGTTTAATCACATCTGTCTCTCTGCACCAAACGCCCTCCTTTCCTATAAGTTCAGGAATTCTAGACTTTTTCCAACGGCAGGTGGACAAATAAATTAAGTGCCGACAAGTAATTTATTTCCAGATTTTTGTTTTCAATAGTTGCAGTAAAGTCTGAGACATTTTTCAGCCTTTAACTAGTAATTCTGCAGTAAACAAACCTAAGTCTACATGCATTGGATTTTAAACTCCCACTTTCAGGATCTAGGGTCTTGTCTTCCTAAAATGTTGGAATCTTAAAATTATGAACCATTTGCTAATGATTCCCTGTTAAATGTATCCTAAAGTTGCTGAAATGCCTGCCTGGAGATCAATATTAACCAAATATGCATTCTCATAACCTTGCTAAACTACCTCATACTTATTATTTCATTGAAAAATCCCTATTTCTTTTACGGTATCCAGGATTATTGTAAATGGATTCTCACTGGTTTCTGAGAGCTTGGGTCTCATATTTTACACAGTGTTGCTTGACTGTCCACACTCAATAAACTGTTCTATATCTAATCTAATTTTTTTTTTTTCCAGGCCAAGGAAATTTTGACGAGGGAATCAAATGTTCAGGAAGTGAAATGTCCTGTCACAGTGTGTGGAGATGTCCACGGTCAGTTTCACGACCTCATGGAATTGTTTCGAATAGGTGGCAAATCTCCAGACACGAATTATTTATTTATGGGCGACTATGTTGATCGTGGATACTACTCTGTTGAAACAGTTACACTTTTAGTTGCTTTAAAGGTGAGTGATTTTTGCAATAAAATAGGGCGTTAGGTTGTGTGGTAAAAACGCTGGATTGACAAACGTATGGAATTTCTAAATGGTTAAGTGGCAAGGAATTTTTACAGGGTTGCGGTATAGTTTTTCATTTGCAAAGTTTTGTGGAATAACTAAAAAAATTATTACCCAGAGGGGAAAGAAGCTAATCAAAATCCGATCAATTAAAAACTGACAGTCTATTTGATGTAGCAAGACAATCCCTGAATATGAGTTCAGCCAATCAGCAAACGCTGTTTCCTTTGCCTGGCTGCATACTCAGCATGCGCCAAACATATAATTTCTAATATGTTTCATTTTTGGTATCTTCCAAATGGGGTCCGTTGCCAATTAGGGATAAAAAAACAGGGTGTCTGCAGGTCTGGAAAACCGGGAAAAATCAGGGAATTTGATCACTGTCTGGAAAACCGGGAAAAGTCAGGGAATTCGATTGAAAACTGGTGAAAGTCAGGGAATTTTCGCAATCCGAACATTCCGCGGCTATTTTTGCTCGTCATAGCCGAATTGGCCGAGTAGCGCGCTCGCGTGGCTGATAATGTAAACTGCATTGTTCAACCAGTTTGCAACACGGCCGCTAGGTTCGCTAATGTGTGTTTTGAGTGACTTTGCATTTTTATTTAGATTTTCTAAGGTGAGTGCCCCAGTTTTGAGCAGATGCTTAACATGGGCGGAAATAGGGCCCCCCTCCCCCCCACAATGCTGATCGGCCCCTTCCAAAAATGTCAAGGACCCAAGCTAATAATTAACTTTGAGGTAAAAGGCATATGGAATGTAATAAATATGGGTTTAATCCCAATGTAATCGATCAAAGATGTCAGAAAAATGAAAATTACTTGCAAAGAGAGCAGCTTCCTCCGAGTAAGGAACATGGAATGCAGTTTGACTGTATCTGGTTGTAGTTTTTCGCGCATTTTAGCGCAATAATTGTTTTCACGAGAGTTAAATTAAAATATATTCAATTAAAACCCTCAGTAAGATTTAAAACAAGTCAGCAAAATTTCTGTCATCTTTAATATTTAATTCCATTTAATTTTTCATTGAGAATGGCTTTAAATTGCTCCCAAGACGTTCTAATTTTCAAAAATTTTCCGGGGGAGACCCCCTGGACCCCCCTCTGCAGGTGGGGGAGTCCCTCCAGACCCCCCTTAGCCCAAGCCATATATCCTTCTGTGCCCCCCCCCCCACAAAAAATTCCTAGTTCCGCTCATGACGGTTAATCAATTTTTTCAGTAAGTTAGGAAATTTAATGAAAGTGCTGGAATTTTAGTTTTTCTTTAACTGAGTAAAGAAATATTTAATTAATGTCAACTGCATTTTGCATGAAATTTTTCTGGTTCTTAAATAAACATGTTCACAACTGGTGCATCCACCCTGTAGAATACTATTGGTTGTTGAGTCTAAGACAAATTCAATACCAACAATAGGTTCATATAAGGAATGGAATCTATTGAATTAATTGACTTTTTTTTTTTTTTTTTTTTTTTTTTAAAAAAAAAAAAATCCCGAATCAAGCAAATTTACCTAAAATCGAGAAGAGACTCGTATTTCCTCTTGATTATAGCAAAATCTGCCTGAGTTAGGCACATTTACAACCCTTGTTTTATATTTTGAAAAAAAGAGACTTGTATTTTCAGGGCACTAAGTAATATGCCAATATTTATGAAACCTCCAGGGTAAACTATAGTTTGAATTTTCCAAAGTATACGGGGCGATATGTCACAAAAAGAGCGTAGTAGAGCTTAAAAATTAAATTTTGGAGTTGAATTTTGCTCTGAGTATACCATTTTGGAATTAGCTTTATTTTGAGTATTTAGGATCTCGTTCCTTTCAAAAGTATTACTCAACTCCTTCCAACGCCATGGTAATTCAGAATATGACTTTACGGGGTCATTCCTAAGGATAGTTTTTTTTTTTAATATTTTTTAACCAGCTCATCGTATGGCTAAACCCAAAAAGTCAGGGAATTTTGTCATTTTTTGTCATGGAAAACCTGGAATTGTCAGGGAATTTCATTCTGAAAATCTTGTAGACACCCTGAAAAAAAATCTGAAAAATTCCTGGGAGCTTAGTTTACTCCATTCTTACAAAAAATAAAGTAGAAAAAGTGGGTGCCTCCGACCTATTTTCCGTAAATCTGTACTACTGTACCCTGCATCTAGATCTTTGGATTTCTGAACAAGGAGAAAGAACCTTCATTTCTCGCAAAGAATTGAAGTTCACATCTAGTTTTGATCAGTTTTCACATTGTTTTCTCATGTTTGACTATCTATGAATAAAGTGCACAAATTTTATGTTCTGTTTCCCCCTCAGGTTCGTTATAGAGAAAGAATAACTATTTTAAGAGGAAATCATGAGTCCCGGCAAATCACTCAAGTTTATGGTTTTTATGATGAATGTTTGCGAAAATATGGGAATGCCAATGTTTGGAAATTTTTCACGGACCTTTTTGATTATCTACCACTGACTGCGTTAGTTGATGGACAAATCTTCTGTCTGCATGGTGGTCTCTCACCATCAATCGACACCCTAGATCATATTCGTGCACTAGATCGGCTACAAGAAGTTCCTCATGAAGTAAGTTTTTCAGCCATAACTACTCTCTTTCATCTATTATCACTCTGCGTGTCCATGTGCCCAGCATTGCATACAGCAAACGGCTGTTTGAAAAATCCTATCACCGGACAAAAATGTAAATCAAATCCATCTCCTAATTATACATTAATTTGCTCACAACATTCATTGAAGGAGATCCCTATTGCTAAATCATATACAATGAACCTGTCGAAATATTTTATTTTTAATCTTTTCCTTCAGGGAATCATTCAGCACATTGTTGTAAAATACTTTTAAGCTTTTTCCTAATATTTGTTTCATTTGTCTTTTTCAGGGTCCCATGTGCGACCTTCTTTGGTCAGACCCAGATGATCGAGGAGGATGGGGAATCTCACCCCGTGGTGCTGGTTACACTTTCGGCCAAGACATTTCGGAAACGTTCAACCACTCTAACGGTCTTACACTAGTTTCTCGAGCACATCAACTTGTAATGGAAGGATACAACTGGTGTCATGATCGTAACGTTGTCACGATATTTTCAGCTCCAAATTATTGTTATAGGTGCGGAAATCAAGCTGCAATCATGGAACTGGATGATGGCCTCAAATACTCATTGTAAGTGCTTTTTGTCCGTCTCCTCTTTCTGTTTCAAACTTCCTGGTGGTTTTGCAATAATTGTTGACAACATTGTAGGAAAGAGTTTGAAAGAATCTAATCATGCTTTAGTCCACTCCTCCAGGCTATTTATCTTTTTATCTCTTGTCACGGAAGTAGATATTTCTCCACTACTTCATGCTGCAGAGCTAGAAAAGAACTCAGTTAAAGTAGTAATTACGGTCACAGGAGACTCAGGCCCTCTGTTTGAGAGGATTAAAAATACAGGGGTGTTGCAGTCAAGCAGACATGCTCCCCTAGGCTGGAATAACACTCTGGTTTCTCTCTGTAGAATATTTCTGAAGTTCTCATCGAAGAAGGGGCAACATATGAGAAAATAAGACCAGCTAGACTGTTTAAAACTAACCCACTGATACTGAGAAAATAATTTAAATTGGTAATGTGACTAATGTTGTTTTTTTTTATTTAAATTACAGCCTACAGTTTGATCCCGCACCTCGCAGAGGAGAACCACACGTAACCCGCCGCACACCTGATTATTTCTTGTAAATGGACCGTATTATAATTGATTGACTGTAAGAAATTACGCATTAATTTAAGTCTAAATTTGTATAGAAACATATGAATGAACATCTTTGAATGTGGAGTTAGTAAAGTGTTCTGTGTGAGAATAATGAATGAATAAAATAAAAATAATGTTTAAAAATAAAAATTAGAAGCGAGATTTTAATGAAAATCGTAATTTTTTTGCAAGTTAAGCGAAGTTATTTGTTGAATTTTTTTAACTGTGTGAGTTATGGACCATCTCTTTGACTCACAATTTTTTTTTTTTTGTTTATTTATTAATTAATTTTTATACAGAAATATTGTGTTAATTGTGTTTAGGTGGCTTTAATAAATGTCATAATTACTACAAAGATAACCTTCTGTCTCTTGGTTTAATGATGTTAGTCTCGCAGAGAGATTCCCATCTTGGTATAGATTAGTTTGATTTGAAACTTTTATCCCTATCCATCTATTAATTCATTTCTTCCCAGTGTATTTATTGTAAAGGACATCTGCTATTTACCATCTTGTACTATATTTTAATCTACATTTAATGCACGAAATTTTAGTAGCAGAGAAGTTTACACATACAATCTTCTTCACTCTGCTTTCTAAAGAAGGTTCTCCTTCTGCCTAAATACGTGTCTAATATGCTGATATCAAATAAATTGCTCTCCTTGACCAAGCAATTTCTCTCTAAATCAAAGATAAAAGCTGGTCTTTTATTTGATCATCGTAATGTCCATCGCAGTATTCATCTTTCATAATAATCACACAATTCTAACGCTGTCTTGATATTTTTCAAGATTATCATGTACAAGTGTAAATTACAATAAAATGTGCATTTTTAACTTGAAAAAGGTTTCTTCATTTCTCAATCTCCGAGGCATTTTGTGTGTATTTTAGCCTTGTTTACCCATTTTCTTGAGTTTGTTTCTCAATTGCTTAATTTGTGTGGAAAATCCTTTATTCTGTTTCTACCAGAACGTATTAATATTTGTTTCTAAAGCAAGAAAGGAAGGTAGTTTATCAAATGTTAATACCAGGGCAAGGAAAGTTAATGCTTCAAAGCTCCTCATGTAACTGAACAATTGAAGAAAATCTAAAGATCTGACTCAACAGAATAAGTAGACTGCATCCACAAGAATGCAAGCCTTGATCATTCTCTTGTTATCAAAGCCAAACTTTTTTAATGATTTCAACTAACCCATAAAGCAAACCCATTTTCGTCCGTGCTCATGAAGGCTCTCCCACTTCAGGCGACTAGGTCGACAGCAACTTCAGGAAATTTTGTTACCACTGTTCTATGCTATAACTGACAAGTCGACGGTGTAAGTCGGCAATCACATAACTCGGTTTGCGACGTTGCAGACGACCTGTCATACTTTATTCTTTAGACTGAAAACTACTCAATGGCAATTCTTTAAAACTGCTTATTTAACTTTTCCTCTCTGTGCGAAGAAAATTCTGCATAAACTTCAAGGAATGATGTCAATTTATTCTCCTTTGAAGTTACATACAGGCGGAGGTTTTCAGACACCGCAAATGAGATATGTGATTGTACACTTACGCCGTCTAAGTATTACAATCAAGCTTTAGACAGCAGAAAAAATAGAGAGATTACAGTTGGCATATATTTAGATTCGACCATAATTTAATTCATTTTTTGTGAGAGGAATAAGAGGGGCTTCTGAATATAGGAGAACAACCGATAAATAGTCGTCCCAATAAGAGAGGTTTCACAGTGATTAATGGTTTTTATTCTTTTTTATAATTAGGTTCACAAATTAATGAAAAAATTTTGTTTACTTTCACATTGACTTCATACAATTCTAAATTGTATAGGGAAATGTTACAGGTGATAATAATTTTTATTGAAAAAAAGAGGATACCCAAAATTTATTGATTACAAAATATAATATGCCAAATCTGTCATGCTAGGGAAAAAAGGCATAAGAGCCTTCAGACGTTGCCAAACTTTTTTGGACAAATTACCAATTTTCAGGCAAATTTGTGTTTCTCTTCCAAATTTACAGAGAATTTTGCATATGTAATATGCTCTGAAGTGTTTGAAAAATAATTATTACTTCCCTCAAAAATAGGTATTTGCTGAGAGTAAATTTTGCAACATTCAAATGTTCACATGTTTTTCCTTAGCATGGCAGAAATGGTGAACTGGGCCCGAATTTTGTTAGCAAGCTAGCAGTCGCAAGTTGAGGCGAGAATGTTGACATGGTTAATCGGTCATTGATTATATTTTGTATCCTTGATGAATTAAACAAGGCTCTAACCTGCCATAAAAAAGCTCAACTTGCAAACAACTTGAGTTAAGAAAATAATTTTTCCGACTTACAGTCAAATTTACAGGTTAGGTTTCACAACTTGTCGTTGACCGCAGCCAATAAAATTAGGACCCAGATCCTATGAGTTGGTCTTTGCTTTCAATCTCAAGTTTCTTTTTTATTTGTTTACTCAGTTTTTATTAATAATAGATTTTTTTATAAAGCAACTCACTTTTTACTGCGTAACATACATCAATGATGATACTTAATCTTAGAGTTGGATAGGTAAAAAATGTTAAAATTTAATTATTCATTTTGAACTTAAATTGAATAATATTTATAAATAACGTGATAAACGCATGCCTAGCTTTAAGGTTCCTGCTGAAATGAGGTAAAATTGGCACAGGGATGTTGATTTGCTGCAAATGTTCATGCTTCTGATTCGTTGGATACACCCTCTTCTTCTTCTGCCAAAATTGGAACGATGAGATTTTCTTTGGACATTAGATTATATTTTGTTACGAATATTGTAAATCTTCTACACAAGTAAGTTTCATTCTGAAAATAAATTAAGTATTTTATTAACATATGGTATTAATCATATTTGCAAAACTAACGTAACTGTCCAATAACATTAATACTCTTCACCTCTTAGGACATCTTATCCAGTCAACAAACACGAGATTCCAACAAATGGCCGGAGGGTTCTTTTAAATGGCATACCAAGAAATACAATCGAATGGTTTTGCATTTTAGTGCCAAGATCAAGAATGGTCACACATGGACGTATCATCACTTCACTATGACTTCGTACAAAAAAAAAAGAAAAAAATTATCAGCTAACACAAATTATTATTTTACTCCTTAGAATAGTAGGTAAGGATTTGCGACAACTCAACTGCTTGTTCCCTGACATCGAAAGTTGATCTTAGCAGCCACCAAACCACAAATGTCCATTCATAACATTGCTTATCTCCATTCTCATTTCCTCAAAATTGTTTTTGCAAAAAGCTTTCTTTGATTTTTATTTGTTCTCTCCACAATATTCTCTAAAAATTTTGTGGAAAAATGTTGATCAGTATTCTTTGGAAAACATAAAATATGAGTTGAAATTTTCTAACAGCATGATCAAGATCCATAGTTAGGTAGTAGCACCATCAATAAATGAGTAATATGATGTCTTTAAGAGACCTTGAAGGACTTACCTCAAATTCATCAAAAATATTCCTATGGTGATAGTAGGCATGAGAAAATATTCTATAAACTCTCCTACAAACTGATCCCAACTTCTGGACTGAGGATTCTCGTATGTTGACTCTAGAACAGACAAAATTTTTGTCTATTATTTATTTACTATGTACCCAAGCACATGAGAGGGTAAAATTGGTTTTAGTCAAGAAGACAAGCAGCCATCACACTACAGAAAATATAGTTTTACACAATTCCATCAAGTATTAAATGAACCTACAGAGGATTTCATACATTACTTGATTATTATGTTGCAAAATTAGTTTCGAATTATTTCAATTAAGTACAAAAAAATATGTGTGTACTCACTTTGCCCCGCAGAGCCTATCAGTGAATTAAGTACGACTAAAAAACTCTGCCAACTCTGTTATACCATTTGTTGTGACACTTGAGCTCTTTATCCTTAAAGGCTACTTTGAGAAATGACTTACTGAATAATTTTACAAAGGTACAATGAAACATTCTGGTCATCGTCTACACTTTGAAGTTTCAATCTGGACCAATCAGTAGATCTTAACAAATATAAAAATTTGATTTGGTTAATTCTACTTAGGCACCTCCTTACTTTCATTCCTTCCAATTTATCAGGAGCTGGAGTTACTTTGGGTTCATACTCAAGTAATAAACCCTCATGACCAGAGAAGCCTTATTTCCAGCCAAAGATTACAAAAGCTACTAAAAGACGTACAGAGTGATCCTAGAGTACTGCTCTCTATAGCATAGCTCTCAGCATTCTAGCTCCTTTTTAGCATGATTCCCTTAAAAGTGTTAGGGGGGTCCTAAAAGTTGTTTCCATTGACCTACATGGACTCACAAAATGTCAAGTCTCTGTTCCAATTTGTTCAAAAGTTACGCCCCGTGCTGATGGTGAGGGATTTTGGATCACCCTGTATGATTGAGACGAGCCTTACACTTTGTGGGTTTAAATTTTGGGAAATAGTAAACAATTTGGCAGGTCGTGGAAAACAGAAAAATGAAAACCAAGCAGACATCACTGCAAACCAACTAAATCAGTATTTTGCCACAGTTGGGGAAAAACTAGCAGAAAAGATCCCGATAAATGACAATAAGAAGGACGCATTAACGATAAATAAAACACGACAGAATGAAAATTCGATTTTCCTGGCTCCAGTAGATAAATACGAGGTGGAAAGAATCATAGGAGAGTTAAAATTAAAGAAAAGCTCTGGATCAGATAACGTAACTATAATATTACTGAAATATTGCTCCAGAAGTATTTCTACACCTCTAGCACATCTTATTAACCTGTCCTTCACCCAGGGCCTATTTCCAGACAAACTCAAGGAGGCGACAGTAACCCCAGTTTATAAAAATAAAGGATCTAGAGATGAACCATGCAACTACAGGCCTCTTTCAGTCCTATCTAATTTATCAAAAATTTTTGAAAAAACACTAAAACAAAGACTGGTCAGTTTTTTGACCATAAATAAAATAATACCAACAAATCAGTTTGGATTTCAAAAAAATAAGAACACAGTCCAGGCCGTAGCAAAACTGATTGATAAAGTGATACAACTCCTAGAAAATAAAGAGAAATGTGCGCTCCTACTACTAGATGTAACCAAAGCCTTTGACTCAGTGTCACATACAATTTTACTATCTAAGTTAGAGTATATAGGTGTTAGAGGGGTTGCTTTAGATCTATTTAAGAGCTATTTATCTGGGCGCACTCAGAGAGTGAAATTTAGAGATTTAAGTGAGGAAATGGAAGTGGGATGGGGAGTTCCCCAAGGATCGGTATTGGGGCCGATCCTCTTTATAATCTTTACAATAGATCTTTGCAGCATTAAACTAAAAAATTGCTACATATCAGCTTTCGCTGATGATACCTCAACGCTGTTCAACGAAAAATCATGGAAAACATTAAATGACACGGTAAACCAGGGGTTAAACCAGGTAATTAAACCCTGGTTTGAAGAAAACAAACTAACGCTAAACCTGTCGAAAATTATTTGTATTCCATTCTCAACCAACTATGATGGGGTTGAAGAGCTGAAAATAAGATTCCACCATTGTAATGCAAATCAAAATTGTAACTGCGAGTATCTCAAACTAGAACATCAAGCAGAATATCTAGGGATAATGTTAGACAGAGGATTAACATGGAGCGAGCATGTCAAAAAAATTGAAGGACAGCTCAGCAAAGTCATATACTCCATCATCTTTCTGAAACGTTTCCTTAGCCTGGACTCTCTGCGGATAGTCTTTATGTCCTTCTTTCAGTCTGTTCTCAATTATGGCATAGCAGTCTATGGAGGCGCAAGTAGCAACATCCTCAAGCCAATCTTAAGACTTGAAAGAAGGGCAATAAAGACTATCCTAAACCTACCCCAGACCTATCCATCGGCAGAATTATACGACTTGTTGAATGTTAAAGGTTTCCATGAACTTTACCAAAGG